AGTCTACTTGTCTTTGCACCTTCCCAGTGAGGCTACCCAATTCCCCTATTTAATACAGCAACTTACCCACCCTCACCCTTAGAAAACTACCAGTTCCCTCTGCCCTGTTTTTATTTCTCCATAACATTTAATGCCTTCTTTAGCAACACTGCACACTTGCATGATAACCTCGCTTGTCTGTCTTTCCTTGCTAGAAAGGAAGCTCATGAGGGCAGGGCTCTGTTTCATTCACTGTTCCCATTACCTCTGACAGTGTCTGGAACACAGTGGGTGCTCAACAATTATGGCATGAAGGCAGGGATGCATTAACGGATGGATGGATGAGATAAGAAACAGCCAGGAGCCCCACCTGTCTAAAGGGACAAGTCGCCAGGGGAGGGGATTGGGATGGGGTTAGGAATGTGGGTCTGGCAGCATGGCACCCATCTGGGGGGGAGGGTCAATGCCCATGTGCCTTTTGACCCCCTGATAAGTTATCAGGAGTAAAATTATCCCAGTCCTGGGAGCCTGAAGAGATGCAGAGGCCGTTTGTCCAAAGGAGGGTGTGGCTGCCTTCCAGGGAGGAGGGTCACCCAGTGGGACCCAGTGTCTCTGGGTAGTTTATTTTGTATGGGTGATTCTAAGCATATCAAGTGTACACACAGAGCTAAGGAGAAAAAATGGGAGAGATTTAACTTCTTGAAAATGCTTCATAATAATGGAGAACAATTATGTATAGCAAACACCTTCAAAATTTAAATGCTTTAAACATTTAATTCAGCATTAATACACACAAATCCTATTACAGGAGTTGGGGAGAGCTGGTGACAGCCCCCATAGGGATCAGAGTTTCAACAGTGTCACTTATAAATTATATTACATCCATTTTATTTACTGGTCTAGGCAGTCAGAGGGAGGAAGATATACAGTGTGGAGTAAACACATTCATACCGGGAGGAGGAATGCTGGCAGGAGACACAGCTTTGTAACATTAAAAATGTATAAAGTATTTAGCAAAAGTTACAGAAAACAGACCAAACAAGCAAGTTTATTCTGTTAGAAAATTCCACTTTCGTAGGGTTTGCTGATGTGCTCGTGTCTGTGAAGGGCTGCTGTGGCTCCCCTCCCCCAACCTCTGTCCTGAGGGAGGGCAGAAATGCAGACTGGGGGACCATCACCAAGGGTGGCTGGGGTCCCTGTGAATATCTGTCCCTGGGTCCACATGGCTGCCCAGAGGCCATGGCTCCCAAGAGCCGGCCTGCGGTGTACAACGCTGGAAGGGGAGTGTCTCAGTTGACAGATGAGTCCACCAAGGTCCCAGAAGGGAGGTGACAACTCAGGTTATGGGACTCAAGAGACAGCAGAGCGGGCCCAGTCCAATGCTCTTGCCCCTGGGACCTCTGTCCCAGTGTCACGCTGTCCGTTAGAGCACCCATGTGCTGGACCTCTGCATTCCGCCATTGCAGTCCCGTTAGGAACTTCCCTGAAAACACAAAGGGTCCATGTCCCCTCAACCACACGCAGAAAGACTGAAGGCAGTCACAAGCCCTGTCCTTCAGAGGCACCTCCCAACAAAGACTCCCCAGAGAGCTTGGCCCCAGCATCTAGAGGGTTAGGGAAAATGGGAGCTTGCTTTTGTGTCACATGTCTATTTTCACCCAAACCTGCTGCAACAGGAGTTGGGGGCCCTCCTTTTCCAGAGGGGCCTGATTGGAATAATACTCCTGGGGAAGAGAAGTGATGAGTCTGTGGCAAAATGTACCCAGAGCACCCCAGCAGCACAGATCAGTGGCTCCCCACCCTGGGAGCCTGTGGGCCTGAGCTCCCACCTCGGCCTGGATCCAGGTGTTTTCAGTTTGCTTGGAGAGGTTCCTGGTGGCTGTCCAGGGCTCACCTGTCACTGAGCAGGGCATGATCAAGACATGGCTTGGAGTTGTCACCTTGGGGGTCCTAAGGAAGAACTACCTCATTCTTGATAGCTCTCAAGACTCTTAATTTTAGTTTCATTTGTATCTAACAGGAGAAATGCCAGCATGTCCCTCTAACGAGGATTTTAGGCAATGCCATGCACCACTGTGCTTAAGGGACCCAGACGAGGAATGACAATGTGTACAGGGCACAACACCGGAAGTGAGAAGGGGGAAAGCTAGAATGCAGTGACTGCGTGAGGCCTGAGAGAACTTCTAGAAGAATATCTTCATTCTGAAGATGAAGCAAAGAAATCCAGGGCAGGGTCGAGATGAGCCTCTGGCCAGTCCCCTGTCTTCTCACCCACTGGCCTTGCAAACCCCCTTATACTCAACAGATGCCAAGGACTGTGTGCGCTGACATGAGGGGCCCTGGGAGAGGGTGGATCTGCTAGCCCAGAGGCAAGCTCCAGGACACAGCAGAAGTGGAAGGCAATGGAGACCCAGCCCGGCCCTCCCCCCAGTCCCTGGCAGCTTTCTGCACTGTCAAATCCTGACATGAACCAAAAACCAAGTGTGAGCTGCAAGAACTACCTCTGGGTACAGCTTGGGAGCTGTAGGAAGCAGCGGGCTGGAAGCAGCCATGCAGACAAGCTATAGACCCCCAAAGAGGAACGTCTGGGACAAACAATGCATTGTAGGAGTGAGGAAGCCATGTGGTACGCCATGCAATGGAACACCACGAGGTGACACAAGGGAAGCAAGGGTAGGCACACAGCATGGGCAGCTCACAATGCTAAGCAGAGACAAAGGAACCAGCCTCACAGACTGCGTAGTTTGGCTGCATTTACACAACATTCTAGAAAAGGCAAAACTATAAGGTCAGAAAACCAGTCAGTGGTTGCCAAGGGCTGGGGGTGGGAGGAGTGGATTGCCTACAGGGGTCAGGGAGAATTTTGGGAGTGATGGAAATACTATGTTAATTTTGGTGGTGTTTACAAGGCTATACACGTTTGTCAAAATCCATAGAACTGTATACTTTAAAAGGGTGAATTTTATTGTATGTCAATAAACCCTAATACTATATGCCAAATACCTCAATAAACCTAGAGAAAGAAAAGGCAGCATGTCTTAGAGGGGTGGGAAGGACCACGGGAAGAAGATGGTGTGCTGGCCAAGTAAGCATGCTGCTGGTCCATACCCCGAGGAACAGCTGTAAAGTGCTTTCCCTACCTACATAACTGCCAGCAGGTCTGCAGAACCCTGTGCAAACTCTCCCCGTCAAGGCCACTCACAGCTGGAAGTAAAATCACTTAAACAAGCTGAGGTCTTTGACATCCTTTGAATTTATGGCTTGTATTTCCAAGAAGGGACTTTGGCTCAGCCAAGATTTTTACGCACCGTCCACTAATCTAGTAGTTGATTGGTTTCCACAAAGGGAATAGAAACGGACACCTGGTTCGCGAATGCGCACAGTTTCTGTCTGCTCCAGGCACCCATCACCCCCGAGGGGCAGAGGAGTCCTCCTGCTGCAGGACCTCAGGACAGCCATCCCTCTGTGATACTGCTCAAACACACTGGAAATAAAATGGAGAGATTTAAGTGGCTTTTCCTGGAGGTTGTCATGGCAACCAGCTCACTTGGAACACCATTTGTCTTGGAGATACATATTTTTTTAAATCAGGTTTTCACAGACAAAACTAAGTGGACCAGGCAGAAGGGGCCCACTTGTTCTCAGAAATGGAACGATAGAGGTGCTCAAGAACAACCGAGACTCGCTCACCCATTCTGAATAAACTCAGCAAATCCTCTTATAACTTAAACACCAAAACAGAAACAAAAACAGAACCACCTGGATAGAATGACTGCTACCCTGAGGTGCACTTCCAGGTACTGTAGACTTCATCCTGATCTTGACTTCACCCAAGAGCGGGGAGGGGGGACCCTGTTAACAATACAGGGGCTTGGACTATGGGCTCTAGCTCTGCTTTTAATTCACTTTGCTAATTTCTCTGTACTCACTGGTCATACTTGGGCTTCCCCCTCTTTGTAAAGTGAGGAGTGTTATTTAAAACAAAAGAAGTCTCAGAAATTCAAGTTGGATATGGGCTGCGAGGGTCTAGCGACCAGGTGACTGAACACTTGTAGCTGTCTACCTTCCACCCAGTGGGTAAATGCCACATGGTGGTAGTGGGTACTGGAATTGCAGGCTGCCAGTGGGTTAAATGTGGAAGGTTAAATGTTCTCATTCTCCAGAAATGTTAAAGCATCCTCCTGTCTACATGGGAAATAGAGGAGACAGAGGACAGTATCTGTCTTGTATGCAGCTATATTTCTAGAATCCCACACAATGCCTGGCTTATCTCAAGCATCTGCTAAATAAACAGATGAGTAAATAAATGCAAATCTATCAGCACAACAGTGTCTCTGAAAGCCCCACATTCTGCAGAGAGTACCTGTGTGTGAATGTCAAGGTTACTGACCTGCGAGGACCCTGGAGAAAAGATAAGTCTACGCTGAACATCAGATCATGGGCTTCCCTGGTGACAAATCCATATCTTGTCCTCAGATCTGAGCACATTACTTGGCTTTAGCTAAGTGCTCGATGAATAAAGGAGGGAAGAGAAACAAAGGGAGCATGTGAGGAAGCTAACGAGACTGAGGTGAGGTGATGGGGGAGAAATGAGTGACTTCAGAAAACAGACTGGCCCACCCTGGACCAGCTCGGGCCACCCTGGAAGAGGCAAGAGCGCCTCTGCTGCAGTGAGGACCAGAAGACTCTGGAATCCTCAGGTGGAAATGAGAAGACAAATTTCATGAGCATATCCACTCAAAATATCTGGGTTCATAACAAGCCTGTTGGCTTTGAATATTTGAAAATCACTCATAAATTAGTTTACTAAGTCACAAAGCAATTATTACTAGCACCTGTTTTTATTAAAGAAACCAAAAAATAATACACTGAAACTGCTGGCTGGTGTCACGGCTGGCCCAATCCCAGATCCAGAGGGAGTGCTTCTCTGTGCCATGGACTGATCCATGTTGATGAAAGCCTTCAAGCTGATCTTTCTGATTGAGGTGCGTCAATAGGAAACAGGACAAAGTTTGGTTTGCTTTAGTAAATTCGGCATCTTTCTGCCATAAACGATTAGAGAGTGATTCTGACTCAGTGTAAGAAAGGTACCAAAAGATCCAAGATACGCCACTAGTCACTGGCAAGTAAGACTGAAAGCCAGTGAGTTGTGCTCTTAGAATTCTGTACTCTTGGGAAACGTGGGTCCCGTGAACCAGATAATCCTGTCATCAGTGGGAAGATTAAGTTAGAAAGATGGGTTGGGTCTCAGGGTGTGGGTTTCAGGCTAGGATCTGCACCTTGCTAGCTGCATGACTTCCTTCAGGTCCCTTTTCTTCTTCTGGACATTTTGAACTGATTCTCAAGACTTAACATGTTTGCTGTGGTCAGGAAAAGGAGAAAGAGATGTGCAAGGACCCGATGGCAGCCCTGAAAGATTCCTAAGCTGCACTTAGACCAGGTTTTTCCAGACACTGGGAGATGAAGAAAGGGGAGGGCTATACCAGCACCAAGCAAACCCTGCCTGGTGCAGGGTTCTGGAATGTTCAGAAGGTGCTGAGAGGCCAAGGTGGTGGGACACTGGCCAGTGGGTGACAACCTACTGTGGCTATGTGAGTCTTCAATGCCTGCACAGTGACCACCAGTAAGAGAAAGCCATACAATGGACAGTGATCCCAATGTCAGCATGCACAAGCAGGTGGAGCCACCTGGGGATGATAAAGACTTGCCCCACTCTGTCTCCTATGTAGGATTAACCCAGACCCTTTAAGAGACTGGAAAGGGGAAGGAGGGAGAAGGGAGCATCTAAAAGTTGGGTAGATTGGGATTTTTAGAGAGGCGACTTTACTGAGGATGCTGATCTACTAAGAAACACTATTTGATACTCCACTGAGGGCTAATTTGCTGAATGAGGTAGTTCCACCCTGACCTCTCCAGGCAGGGTTGGTCTGGGAAGACAGGAGCCAGGTCTTCTTCCCAAGACTCTTGATCATGAAAGGTGACAAAGAGGAGCCAGTTTGTGGGCTCCCAGAATACAATGGGAAAGATAATGGGGGAGGGCTGCAAAGGATGCTGAGGGAGGGCTATGCTAAATGGTGCCTTCGATTCATAACTGTTACCCTGACACTTGGCTTGGAGACAGAGACCTCCGTCCCCTGACCCTCCAAAGTCTCAGGGACAAGAGAGCCAGCTGGAGGAAGGACTTTGGGGCTTCCAGAGGCTGAGTGTGTGACACAGTTGGCTCTGGGTAGAGAGATGACTTCTACAGTACTCAGCAGGGACCACAAAGTTCCAGCCTCAGTTTGTCCTTGAAGTGGCAAGCACAGCACAGGAGTTGGGGATCTTCAGCCTCGGAGACAAGAGCTGAGCTTTGGATCCATCTTCTTGGTCTGGGAACACTAGGGACCTCCCAGTGGAGCCATCTGGGCCACCCTTCTGGAAGTACGAGCTGCAGCCCACACCCCTCCCTCTCCTCAGTGGACCAGGAGAGTGGGTGGGAGGGCAGCTCCAGTTGGCAGTAGGCCCCGTGGCAGGAACCACTACCTACTCTCCATGGGACCCCCAGCCCTGCTCCTTGGCAGGCCCCCGGGAGCTGCGTGAGCCCATCTATATCTCCATGTCCACGGGGCGGATGTTGCCCGTCTTGTGCTCTCTGACCCACAGCTCCCTGTCTTTGGCTGGGTCCACTTTTCGAAGCAGTTGGTCCACAGGCTCGACTGTCTGCAAGGGATGGAGAAGAGGATGCAGTCAGAGGTGGCAGCAGGGCCGGGGATGCTGCCTCTGAGCCACGCTGCTCGCACCTTTGTGCCCGTCAGAGCAGCCTTTCTGGAGGATTGTGGGGCCCTGGGGCCTCTGGTCCCCACCACCCTGTTTCTCACTCCGTGCCCTTTACCCTTGACCCCAGGGCTGGGTGAGAGGGCAGGGTGGCCCTGATGGCTCCGGGTCTGCGACCACTTCCACCTTTGTTCCCAGGGTTACCACCACAGAACAGGACAAATGAAATTTTAGCTTTAGATATTCTGAACATTTCTAGTTTTTTTTTCCTTTTGGTAAGAAATCACTGGGGCAGGCAATGGCATCTTCCACCATTTTAACTGTCGTGAGCGTCTTTCTCCTTGGGGTAACAGCTCTATTTCCCGCAATGAGATGGGTTCGCATGGGAGTGAAGGCCAGTCTACAAGGCCACCCCAAACCTGTCCACCGCCCATCTCCAGAACAGAGTCATCGCAGTGACCGAGTAACCTGGCACAGAGCAGTGGTGGTGGCCCTCCCTGACCCTGGGTCACCCGGGGTCCTGCTGGCCTCCGCTGGGGGCGGGGGCAGGGACTCACGCTTTGGTTGAACATGTCTGTCTCGTGCCGCAGCTGTGTGTACTGGCACAGGTGTTGCCGGATCATCTCCACCCTCTCCACCTCCAGCCGCTCCAGCTCCTGTGCAGGAGGAGAGACCAGAGAGCTCTGCACGTCCCCTCCACATGGGGACCTTCCCACCAGGCAGGTCCCAGACTACCATCTCACACAATACAAGCCGCCACCCTCTCAGACATGACCCCATGTGACCTCTGGGGCCTCTGGCAGTGATGATGAAGAGGATGAAAACGCGGCCGCTGCCATTTCTGGACCTCTGCCCGGCCAGGCACGGTGGGCACTGAGAGCTTTACGTGCATCGCTTCATCGTGCTCGTAGTAATTTTAAGAGAGAGGTCATCTTTTTTTCCACATTTTCCAAACAAGGGAATGAACATTCGGACAAGTAACGCCACCTGCCTTAAGTGACGTGGAATGATGGGAGGAGCGAGATTTGAACCAGCATTTGTTTTCATGATGGTTATTGCACCAGTGCAGCCCCAGCCCCGGTTCCTGGTGGGATGGACAAAAGGGACCCGTGCGGCGGGTGGGGGGAGTGTCTGTGCCTCCCTGGGCCTCTGCTGAGCAGCCGCCATCCTCAGGCCACCCCTACATACTGCTGAGGGACAGACCAGAGGCCGGGCCACGGGAGGCGGGGGCTGCGAGTAGGGTGGCCACTGTCAACGGGATGACTGGGAAGGGGTTGCCTGCTGGTTTCTAGGTGGTTCCACATCTTTGGAATTTAGGGGATTAGGCTGTTATTTCTGTGCACAACTAGGTCACCACCCAGGTGATTAACTGGGGAGGGGAGTAAAGCAGGGGGCTTAATTAGGAGATTAACCAGAAGGAAAACCAGGTCACTGTCCTGCGCTGGGTGGACAAGGGTGGCTTCGAGCAATGGGGCGATGTGATAAACAGCTGGCATGATGCTCCTTTCTCACCTGGCCCAACGAGACCCAAATGCCTAACACACTTCACCGCAACAGGGGCTGACTGAGGAGATGCTGCCTGTTCACAAGAAAACTCAGGGAGGCAAAAAAGGGGGTTTGGTGCCTATTCCTCATGCCCCCAATCATGGGGCTCCCCCATTGCTCCCACACAGTGCCCCAACCTCACCCCTTATGTGCTGTACAAGGATCTTCTCTGCAGGAACTGCTACTCTTCTGGGGGGGTGGGTGAGAGGTCACCCTTCCTATAGCTTGTCTATTTGTCCTAAAGGGCCTACTGTCAACTCAGTTAGGGACATCTTCAATTGAACCTGACCCTTCGGGGGACAGCCAAGGAGGATACAGCAAGACCCAACCCTCACCCATGTTTACGCAGTTAGGAAGTCCCAGAGCAAGGCCTGGAGTCAGCGGAGACTGGCCCAGAGTCGAGGTCTTGACCCCACCACGAACAGATAGAACGACCATCTCCACAGTCACTGCCACTCCACCACCATGTGCCCACCAGCCTCCACCCTGGCTGCCCTGAGAACCAGCCTCTGTGCTGCCAAGCACTCACCAGCGTGGTGGTCACCATCTCTTCAAACCACTTGGACTGGGCTTGGTTGTAGAGGTCCACACAGCGCATGAGGTCGTCCCCTGGAAAAGGCCAGTGCCACCGTCACACTGCGCCCTGGCCGGCCGTGGCTGCCCTCTCCCCCAGGACAGCACGCAGCCGTGCCAGTCCCTCTCCTTGGGGCCATGGAAGCCAATGGAAAGTGGGGGGTGGGAATGGAAGCAGAACAAAGAGAGCGGCTGCCCAGCACCCTAAGGGACCAGCTACAGAGTGTCCAGCTGAACTTGACCCCAGACACCAAGAATTCAGGATGGAGGTTTTTAAGTGTAGGGGGTAGGGGATGGGAAGGGGGTTACTCCTAGGACCCCTAACAGTATCATGAGCTGAAGAAATGTGTCCTCTTTAAAGATGGTAGTTTCATTTCACATCGGAGAGTCCTTTTTCATTAAAACATGTCACAAGCAACTTGGTACTAGTTAAAGAAGAAAACTTTGCAAATTATGTCCATTTATGTGTATGTGTGTGTATATGCAACGGATGTCATTCTGAAACACACGGTAATGTGTCCGATGGTGTGTGGCTCGCACATTCACGGTGGTGGTGTGAAAACACACACTGAGCACTATACACCAATTCCAGGGTAGCGCTCACTCTAGGAAACAGGTTGGGTGGAGGAAAGGAGCTCTCTCCACCGCACTTTCCTTCATACGAGATCTGAAACAAACACAACTATTCAATCTTGATGGCTAGTATATTGTTCTCTACAATCGTATACACCTTTGAAACATTTTGTAATTAGAAAGAAAACAAACTATAAAGTAACTGCAAACATTACTGAGGCACCAGCACCCCAGAACCTTGCCACACAAAACTCCATTTCTAGACCAGCAGAATCCATGTGCCCTGGGACCTTGCTAGAAACGCTGAGTGCTGGACATACCCGACATCAAGAGTGAGCCAGAAACTGCACTTCCACCGGCTCCTCAGGCTGCGTGTGCACAGCCCAGTTAGAGAAGCGCCCTCCAGGGCAGAGCTTGGTCTAGCGTTCAGATCATCACAGAGTCCAGAGAGGAAGGTATTGTGGTCTGTGCTCATGGGAGGAACGACTCACATACCAACCAAGGCTAACTCACTTATTCTTTAAATCTAGTCATGGGCATAGATTCAAAGTTATTTCTGTAACATCATCTTGCCCATTCTGGTATGAAAGTGAAAACAAACAAACGAAATCGTCCCCAGGACCCAGGGCCTGGTCAGTAGCTCCCTTCTCCCTGAACCACACCACTAGCTGGGAGACAACCCTTGAGTAACAGAATCCAAATAAAGGGCTTTGTTCATTTTGCTCTTGGTCCAAGGTCAAGGACTGGGCCTTTGATCTCAAGAAGGACTGGAACCAGAGGGAAGAAAGCCAATACTTCACTGCAAATGCACGGCTGTCAAGACCCCGGGCCTGATCCAGGATTTAGTTAGTGTGCCACCCTATAAAGGTACCATACGAAACTCCCAAAGCCCTGTTTGTCAATCCTGGTTTTGAGAACATGCTTTGGTAGCTCCTGCAACATCGGGAAATAGGGTAAGTGAGGGAGGGTGTGTCTTATCTCTATGTAGCGCACGGGTTTGGAAGGAAACCCTTCTGCACAGTATGAGTTAAGGCATGGATCCTGGAACCACAATATCTTGGCTGTCAAACCGATTCACAGAAAAAGTCACATACGACCTGCAAGTCTATCACAGTTTGATAACACAAGGCTGACGAGCGTTTAGGGAAAAGGCCTCCGCCCATGTTACTGGTGGGCGCACCACTCTGGAAAGCAACGTAGAAATACCCATCAGGATGAGTACAACTCTGACCCAGAAAATTCACATCTCTATTCTCTCTATACACAGATTTAGATGCAGACATACTTGCAATAACACAGCCATGCTGGCACTGCCAGACACTCCAAACCAATCCAAAAGTCCTACAGAAATCAGTCAGGGAAATGAGGAAGCACAGCTCACAAAATCACACACCTGAATACTATTCCACCATTAAAAAAGTCCAGTGCACATGAGTGGGTGGGCAATCAGATGTATAGGTAATGGAATAGAGCTATCTGTAAGATATAGCAATTAAAATAAAACTTTAGAAAACAGAGTATAATAGGATCTAGTGTGTGTAAGTTTAAATACAGATATTAAAAACACTAAAAATTAAAATACTAGGAAATATGGATGGTGATTTTATCTGGCAAATTAAGATTTTATATTCTTAGTGATGATTAAAGTTTTTCCCAAGCAGAGATACTGGTTTTATAACATAATTGTATCTAAAAACTTCATTAATGAAATGAATCTGGGGATGCCTTTCCTCCTCCCGAGTCTCCCTCCCCGCTCCCAGTAAGTACATTATGTCTGCTGTTTCTGGATCCAGTAATTTATCAGTGTGCATTATAAGACCTGTATATCAACTGTGGTGTTCACATTATTTCGTTGTTGACTTATTTTTATACCATCTTATTTCAAAACGTCCATACGCGGCCGCTTCTCTCCGTGAGGAATCGTCGTGCCGGGTTTGGCAGAAGAGACCTAGAGGCCATCGGACCTGAGCCCTGCCCACAGCCACGTTTCAGCCCCGGAGAGCCACACGCACTGTCCTTCCATGCAGTGAAACACTTTTTTGTTTTCAGAAATACTCAGTAAGTGTTTACTGGCTTCTCTCCCCCTGCCTCGGGCATCAGCTAATTTTTACCACCAGGTGGAAGCAGAAACCAACTCACTGCAGGCATCTCACTCAGGGAGACTCTGCAATGTGGGTTATTTTGTTAACATGTCAGCCCTGCCGGGGCAGGAGCCCATCACTGCGGGTGAGCATCACCCCCTGCGGGGTGGGGTGTGTCATCCTGGGGGCTCCACACAGTGACAGGACCCGGGAGTTCTGGGGGACGGGGGCGTTACCACTTCCTGGTCAGAGAGCCAGGACTCGGAGACCCAGCCTTGTGAAAACCCCTCTGTGCAGCACCCGCTGTGGCCGTCCCCTGGGGGCTGCAGCTCCAGGCATCCCACCCCCAGCCTTCGCCTTGCGGGGCTTCCTGGACCCGGTGAGGACGGATGGGCCATGGCCCCACGCTCACCAGCCTGCGTGGACTTCCTCCGTGCCTTCTTGATGTCCTCCTCTGTCTTGTTGCTCAGCTTGATCTCCAGCTGCTGGGTCTTCATCTCCAGGTCTCTCTGCCGCTCTGTGAGGGCCTTCCGGGCCTGGGGGCCAAGGGCGCGGGAAGGCTGTTCACAGGGCTCAGAGCCCGGAGGGCCCCATGGGCCGTGGCGCCCGGCCTGCCCATTTCCTAGGGAAGTGTCCTCCTTTTCCCTGCTTCTGTGGGTGGTGCCGCCGTGACTCCGACGGGCTAAGCTGCTAGACCAGTATTACTCAGCTGGTTAGTCGCCAGGCAGAGGTTGCCACACGCCTTCCCCTCCCTGTCTCTCTCAACCAGATCCTGACTTGGCCTGCAGCAAGTCTCTCTGACCAGAATTCCACTGGAACATGTGCACATATGGGCAGTCCTAAAATCTCAGCCTGGGCAGGGGTAGGGAGGGAGCACAAGGTCATCTCCATCACCCCTCAGTAGTGCTTAGCAGATGGTAGCACCAGCACCCCACTCTGGGGCAGGAGGGGTCCTTTGGTGGCGGCAGCTGGCAGATTCTGGCGTGCCTGCAACCGTATGCTCCTCCTTCTCCTATACCCTAAGCCATTGCAGTCAGCCCCCCCAGGAGAGTTCGCTTCCCCCCCAGTGCTGGCCATCAGCAGCTCCCACCTAGCTCGGACCTCACAGACTTGGGGGGGAATGTGATTCAGTCAGGAGAGAACTTGATAAGTGAGGCCCTAAGGGGCACAAGTGGAACAGAAGCACATCCAGGCTCTTTTCCCACGTTTCAGGTGCCTGCTGGAGCCCTGCATTGCCTATGGCAGGTGAGCTTCTCCTGCTTCCACTGGCCCTCTGGGCAGGGATCTGAGAGCCACAGGGAAGCAGCTCCTGATCTCTGGCTGGGTGAGGGATGGGGAGGTATGGCCTGGAGTCCCCCCGCCCCATAACTATCCCACTCAGCCCATGGTCTTCCAGGAGGCCCCATCCCCCACCCGCCCAGGGTCCTGTGCCCCTCACCTTCTCCACAGCAGCAAAGCGGCTAGCGAGCTGCTTGCGGAGATCAGCAATGTGGTGGTCACACTTTTTCATGTCTTTCTTGAAGTTCTCACGGAAGTTCATTAGGGGCTTCTCTACCTCGCTGTGAAGCTGTTGAGGAGAACAAGGGGGACATCCTTAGGACCCCAGGGTGTCAGCTGCAAGCAGGTGAAGAGAGAGGGTACCCTCCCACCCCCACAGGTAGGTGTGGGGCCTGGGGCAGTGGCCTGGCCTTTCTGACAGGAAGGGTACAATCCAGTGGAGTCGTAGACGGTGGGAGCCTGCTGGAAACTCACAGGCCCCTCCAGTGCCCTGTGCCCAGGGAGGGCTTGCTGGCAGGCCAGTCTGTCTGGACACCATCTCCTGAACCAGCCCACGCACACTCTGAAGGCCACAGAAAGAGGTTTGCGCTCTGAGAGGAGCAGGTAGTATTTTTCAAGCATTTTCCTTCTCTTTTATTCCTTCTCTCCCACGCCTATTTGAAAGAGCCTCTCAGAGCCCCACCGAACCCCTGGCTCGGCTCCTACAGCCCCCACCCAAGTCAACTCCTAGGCCCCCCTGACTTGGCCTTCCAGCCCCTTGGCCTCCACCTGCCCCAAAAGCATCTGTGGAAAGCACAGCTGAACTTCCCTGGTTGGAATACCACCCCCTCCCCCAACACACATCACTCTGGGATTCTGTGACTTCTCTCCCTCCTCACCAGGCTCCTGTTACCCAATCTTTTTCTCTGGTGACCTCGAGGACTTACGCATTCCCAGTTCTATAGAACCGATCACACACGACTGAGCATCAGGTGGACAGGAGCCTTGCTGCCTGGGCCACCACTGTGCCTGCATTTGTCTGGAGCTGCTGTGGAGTGAGGCCCCTTTCACTACGGAGTGACAAGATCTCCAGAGCCCCATGCCCTGGGCGACAAGACTACAGCTTTGTTGTTGGAAGACCTTCCAAGGCTAACGGAGCAGGCTCCCCGAGGGCCCTTCTCCTCCTCACGTTAGTTGTATTCGCCCGCTATTATTTTTTGAGCCCATGCAAGTTTCCTCGTACAGGGAAAACACCCGCACCTGGAGGCAGTACGCAAGACGCTACAAACTGGAAAGCTATGGACGACCCTCGAACCCCTTTCCCACGTGTATCAGGCGTTTGCTGAGGAGTGGGCGCTGCTCAGTGGACCCAGCCAACTGCTCCCGACTGGGGGTCCGTGAGGGTGGCCTGGGCCGACCGACTCAGTAGTTCTGGGGTCTCTTTCTGAGCACCTGGAGAGAGAGTGGGTTTCTAGACTTCACTGCACCAAGAAGTGACCTGGAGGGGCTTTCCGGGCCCCTCGGATTCCTGGGCCCAGCCCCAGGCTCTGTCCACACTGCAAAGTGCTTCCCCAAGTTCTGAATGACATTCTGAAACATAACACTGCCGGCTGTCGGGGGTGACTCAGTCCCATGGATTCTCCCTCTATATTTTAAGTACTTCTAAAAGATGTAATTTTTCAAAACAAAGTTGGCTGGGTATCTTTCTATATGCATTTGGAACTGTCAAGCGTCTTTGTTTAGCTGGAGCCCCAAGTCCTCAGAAGCCAGTCCTGGTGGACGCCCGACTGGCCTGCCCTGGAGGGGACGAGCTATGGGGTCCACGCCGCTGGCCGGTGTAGAGCCCCATGCTCAGCCTTCTCCCCTCTGCACCCGACCCTGAAGGCAAGAGGAGACATCTCAAGATGCAAACCATGTCAGAGACTATCCGGCCCAGGGTTTTTCAAATGGTGGGTAGCTAGGAGCGGTGAGATCAGTTTAGCGGGTTAGGGCCAGCTTTTTGATGGGAACAGACCAGACATGAGGAAAATATGAATGTGAAATGCACTCGAGGCAGAAAGACAAGCACTGTTTCATGAAATGTGTGTCTTGGCTCTGCACACGTGTGCCTGTCTGCACGAGTAGATGGGGCGTGCACACCTGTGCCTTGTGGGGCCATGTAAAATGTATTACTGTGGGTCTCCAGCAAATAGGTTTCCAATGAAAAACACTGGAAGCACAGGGATGTGAAGCAACTTGCCCAAGGTCAGGAAGCTTGTTGGTGATGGCACTGACTTAAACTCATGCCCCCAGGCCCCCACATTGCCCCACACTCTTCTGACTGAACACATGGCCTCTACTCACATGACTAGGTATTCCCCCAAACAGAAGGGTTTTTTCCTGTTGTCCCTTCTTGGGCACAGCCAGGTATAACTTTCTCTGTATTATAGAGCAATCACTTCTTTCAGCAGCCGGTTGCTGTTACCAATGGCCTCAGCCCGAAGACTACAGAAGCCTGAGAGTCTGACTCAGCAAAACTGCACTTCTTGAAGGGCTCCTACTCCTGACATGGAACAGTGGAACTTCCACGAGCCTTTTGGGGCAGGGGTTAACATGGGTTTGGGGCACACAGAGCCCTATTATCCATGGCAAATGACACATCCTGGGAGCTCTTTCCTTTTCAGCGAATAACCATGCAACCCCTGGGCTGCCTCAGTGACTGCCTAAGGCCACGGACCCTGACCACCAGCCAGAAGCAGCAGCGGTTGTCAGAGAGACACCTGACTTATGTGGACATTCTTCCCAAGCTCCCGTCGGTGACTTCCTACACCACCGTGGACAGCCCCTAAGAGAGGGCAGAGAGCTCCTCAGAATAGCATTTGTGCTTTAAATGCCACTGGTCTGTCTGGAGAAAGGCCTGTGGGTGGCTCGACCCAGCTTGCTCGGTCCTCTCCTGGCTGAGCCCTCTCGGCTGGGATGTGGCCTCCCCTACCCCTTCTCATTTGTGAAGAGGAGACGCTGTCTGGCCGGGTGGTTGATAAAAGTGAGAAATGAGTTCTATGCTGCATGTAACTATCGAGAATACTTACAGGACTGAGATTCTGTGATATGGCAAGAAATACTTATATTTCAGTGCTTGTCCTCAGCTCCTGGCCGGAGTGCCTAAGACCTTTGTGATCTTCTAAGCAATCAAAGTGCCAGGGGCATCTTTTGTTTTAATATTTGGTCTGCGACCCTGGTTCCTGAATCCCTTGGAATTTCCTAGGTGATAGGAGCCTCTTTTGGTCTAAGGAAGTGACTCTTGGTGGATTCCGAATCGCTTCGGGATGGGGGCCGATCAGCACAAAAACCAAGCCACGACTGGAAGCTCGGAACTTTCAGCCCCACTCCCCAACCTCTGGGGAGGGGAGAGAAGCTGGAGACTAATTTAAGAATTGATTGTGCCTGCATGGTGACGCCTCCATAAAAACCCCTCCACTACAGTACCCAGGGAGCTTCTGAGCTGGTGAACACGTCCAGGGGCCACGAGGGAGACACACCCAGCTCCACAGGGGCAGAAGCTCGTGGGCTCAGGACCCTTCCAGACCTTGTTCCCTGTGCCTCTTTACCTGGCTGTTCACCTGCATCACCTCACATCCTTGAATCTGGAATATACTGGTAAACCCAAGTAAATGTTTCCCTGAGTTTTGTGAGCTGTTCTAGCAAAGTATCAAACCTGAAGAGGGGGTTGTGTGAGCCCTTGCTTTGTAGCCAAGTCAACACAAGTGTGGGTAAGCTGGGGACGCACTGCTTGCAACTGGCAGTCTCGTGGGGCTGTGTCCTTACCCTGTGGGGTCTGATGCCACTTTCAGGCAGTTAGTATGGAACTGAGTTACACTGCAGGACACCCCGCTAGGGTCAAAACTGGCCACTGTGGGGAAAACCCTCTGGTGCCCAGAAGTAGTCATTGTAAAAGGAAATAGAGAAAAACAGAGCATGGGAGAATGTTTAGTCACCTGAGCACTATAAACAATCCAGAAGCAGGGGTCCCACTGAAGGGAAGTAAATGCCCCCAGGACTGGGGACCCAGCAGGGGGCCCCTTCAGAGGTACAGGCAGCTCTCAGCCCCACTCGCCCCAAGGGCAGCCTTCCCATCCCTCTCCCATTCAGGCGCCAGTCAAAGGAGGGCTCTGTCCCCAGAGAAGAGAGCTGCTGGGGGCTGGGACGGAAGGGAGACCTACGAGAAACACTACCCCCGACCCGCAGCCTGAAAATAGCTTCAGTGTATGTGAGGCAGACAAGAGCCTAGTCCACTGAGCTCCCTTTTCTCCTGGAGCTTGAGCAGCAATTTCCTCCTGAAGTGTTTGGTGCCAGAGGTGAGTGTGCTCCTGTCAGCCAGGAATTCTCACTCCCACCTGGGTGTCAGCCTGCTCTCAGGGCACTAACGTCCTTGAGCAGTGAGGAGCTGGCGTAGCACGGTTTCTCCTTCCACCCCTCATGTGTCTCAGCCACCTGTCACTCCTTCTGCCCTCTGTGCGCAGAGAACCATTGTGAGGGGGGCGGGGAGGCCTGGCACAGAGCTGGCCCCTGTCCTCCAACAGCACGCGTCCCGTGGGGACCCCAATGCCCAGAGCTGCGACTGCTATGGAGAAAGCACCAGAAAAGAGACAGGGCCCATGAGCACAGAGCGTGGAAGCCCCAGGAAGAAGCAGCCATCACTGGGGGACATAGTACCATCTAGTAGTAAAGGAGGTAGTGTGTCCCCTAACTTAAAAATGGGGGCTCAGAGAGGTTAAGCACTTGGTCCAAGTGGCCTCTCAGGCCCTGATGTCTGTCTGGTGATGGCGGGAGGGTGGAAGGAAGAGCGTGGATCCCCAGGGGCCCAGGTCACTGGGAGTGGTGCCTCTCTTCCTTTTAAGAGCAAGCATGCCCATGGGCGCCCCACCAGCTATGCACACTTGAGTGTGAATTATTTCACTCAGACACTTGGTTCACTTTTCCCCTGAAAAGTTGTTAAAAGCCCAAGGGAACATTTGCAGGTATGAGCCAGGGAGTGGGGAAGAGGGGGTCATTTGGAAACATGGAGCAAACCCTGAGGAAGGAGGTCTGAAAGCAGCAGGGCGTCAAGAGGAGACAGTGGGAGGGCCCTGTTCATTCATTGCTTCAGAAAACAGTGACTGTGCATCCACCATGCGCTGGGCGTGACCCTGCGTATGGAGTGCAGATCAGACAGACCAGAACCTCAGGGTCACAGAGCTGAGTCTTTAGATGCAATGACAGAAGCCTCACTTACCTGGTCTGAAATTTTGTTACAAAGCCCAACAAAACAAAAACAAACAAACAAACAAACAATTTCTTGGCATAGTGCAGTCTCTCGGGACACCAAGAAGTAGTAGAAAATGCATTCTTTTGAAAGCCTGGCTGGGTTCCACCATTCACAAGTTTACCTGAGGAGCTGAGGGGACTCTGCCCTCCTCACAGAGGGATGCTGGGCAGGCTGATACTGGACCCAAGGGCAAAATCTGTAGGGATTTTATGAGCTGGTTGCTAAAGACAGCCAGTATTAAAAATTAAATGATCTTACCCTGGCTGGGTGGCTCAGTTGGTTAGAGTATTGTCACATACACCGAAGGTTGTGGGTTCAATTCCTGGTCGGAGCACGTACCTGGGTTGCGGGTTTGATCTCCAGTCAGGGTATGGTAGGCAAGTGGTTGATGTTTCTCTCTCATCAATGTTTCTCATATCAGTGTTTCTCTCTCTCTCTCTCCCCCTCTCTCTCTATTCCCTCTCTAAAATCAATAAACATATCCTCAGGTGAGGATTAAAAAGAAATAAAATGATCTACATTTAAAATTACTAAATTATATTAAAAGCGAGGGTCCTAGGTTCTCAGCATGTATCACTGCCTCATGACGTTTAACTAGCGTCTGTGCCCTTGATGGAAACTTCTCGTTCCTGACCCTGCTGTACGTATGGTGGACGCACTGTCCAATGGGGTGCCACTTCAACTCTTGAAGTTCACATCACAGAATCTGGTCAACACTACACGGGGGAGAGACAGCTGGGAAGACTTCAGCAGTGCACCTCTGTGGAAGACCAACAACCTACAGAGGCCGCAGGAAGTGGTTACCTTGGCAGAGAACTTGAGGTGAACCTCCGCCTCGTCTGCGAGGCTCTTCTTCACCTGTGCCCATGCTTCTCCCAGGGAGCTGCAACACGAAGCAGACTGTTAGGCTTGTAGACAGTGACTAACGTCTGAGACCCCGGGTCCAGGGGAAGCACGTGGCCCAGGGTCTGGGGCTTAGATGGGGCAGAGACCAGGCACCAGACAAACCTGAGCACAGCGTTTCCACCCAAGCCATCCCAGACCGAGCCAAGGAGCTGTGAAAAGAGACTGTGGCAGACTGGAGGAAGTCATCCAGAAACCCAGAGAACTTGGGGAGATGCAAGGATGGTGGGGTACAATGGCAGGGAGGGCCTCCAGAGCAGGCTGATTGCTCACTCCCTGCCTTCAAGGTAGCTCTCCCTAGTTTGCTGACAGGGCACAAACACCTGCTGGTAAATCACAGAGGGAAGACAGACGCCTTCCCAGGGCACAGCCCTCCTCACATGAAAGGTGCCACACAGCCTGCACGCAGGCCAGCCTCCAACAGCCTGGCTTCCAGGAGGAGCAAAGGAGGGCCACCTGGATTAGGAACCTCCTGGGAACGCCCACGTAGCAGAGCAGGCTCTCCATCATCGTCAGCAGGGTGGTGGCCCTCGCTGGCACCAGATCTGAACTGCGAGCCCCAGTGCTGCAGACAGCTTCACCAGAAAACGGCAGGTCCTCTGCGCCAAACCACTTTCCACTCCAGGATGCTTCAAGCAGGAGCAATCTCCTGAGGTCCCCAAGACTGGCCTGCAGGTTATTCGCAGCTCTGCAACCTCGCCAACCTTCCAAATAATCCCGAGACCTCGCTTGGGACCTCTGCACCCAGCCAGTAACCCAGGCTGAATGTGCAGTTCACTTCATTTTGTCAAAACACCACTTCCCCCAGAGAATTCATTAAACTCGAGTGGAAAAGCTGATTAAAAGAGAACCTGCTGCGAGGCTCCTGGGCTTCGAGCGGAGAAGCCAGCAGCTCTGAGAATTACCCAACAGAACAGAACGGATCCCTTTGATCACAGCCCAGGCCTGTCTGGTTGAGGTGCTGGCTCAGGCTGAGGTGGGTGTTTATGGGAGACGACTGACTCACTTTATCTAGGAGCCTGCCAGCAAAGAAGGGTCCCCTTGGGTGCTTTCAGCCAGGGATCCCACCAGAAAAGAGACAGAGTGAGAAATGGGGCCACCCAGGCTGTTGACATTTCTGTTGGACTCAGAGTCCAGGCTCCAGGGAGCTGTGTGGGGGCAGCTTGGGGGGGCGCCTGGCTCCTCACCTGCTCTGGGAGGAGGGCAGCAGGTCCAAGGCAGGGTGAGGAGGGGGTGGAAGCAGATGAGGTCATCACACAGACAAGTGAATGCAATACCAGGTCCAGAAACAGACTCACAGATGTGGGTGACTGATGTGCAGCAAGAATGCCAAATTATCTCAAAGGAGGACGGATGGTCTTCTAACAAATGGTACAGGCATAACTGCCTATCCACAGGGGGAAAAGCATCTTGACCCTGACCTTATGCCATACACATGGCCTATCTCAAGATGGATCACGGACCGGAAGTGAACATCAGCACAGTACACAGCCCACAGATGCGGTCCTGGGAGAGGAGGGAACCTGATTAAAGGGTGATGGAGAGGGAGGCGTTGTCCCTGTAGCTGAGTCACACACGAGCCTGCAGAAGGCGAAAGAAGAGCCCACAAGCCAAAAAGGCCCCGGGTAGTACTGAGGATCCACATGTCCACCACCAGCGGAGCATGTGGTCAGTAACTGGTGCAATGACCACAGTGGTGGCCTGGCAGTGTCATCTGAGGGCTATTGGACGGAAAGGAGGAAGTGCAGTTTCAGGATCAGAACAAGGTCCTTGTCCCCACCTCCAGGATGGATATTCACAGGTGGGAGGATGTCACTCTATACCTTCACTTGGTCTTTCTAAGCCCTGAGCAGCTTTGGTTCAGATGGTTGAGCACTGTCCTGCAGAGTGAAAGGTCGTCAGTTCGATTCTCAGGTCAGGGCATATGCCTGGGTTGTAGCCCAGTCCCCGGCTGGGGTGCATGTGAGAGGCAACTGATCAATGTTTTTCTCTCACGTGGATGTTTCTCCCCCTGTCTTTCTCCCTCCTTTCCTCTCTCTCTAAAATAAAATAAATAAGATCTTTAAAAAATGGGTCTGTTCGAGCCAGTCCTAATATTCCAGGCCCCTTGGGGCCAACTTCATAATTTAGAATAAAGCAATTTACAGTTTTTTTATTTGAAGGGAAATCTTTCAGCTGATAAGAGGTTGATAAAAAAATTTGAGCTATATTTCTGTTTCAATATATAGTCTGCGGCATACCAGATCAAAACGCATGATACTGTCACAATTATCACCCAGTGAAGACCCAAATCCCATTTCCTTTTCGCCCAGGCGAGGAACACTGAAGGCAGAATGAACAACCTGAGTCTGTTTATTCTCCAATGCACACACATCCTGTGGAATCCAATTTGGACCCAGTGGTCCAGTGGCAAAAACAGCTCGAGTCTCCCCATTGGAACTTCCTAGGCTACCCCTCATTTCTAGGCTCCAGCATTGCACTTTGAAAGTTTCAGTGTGGACTGGGCTACTGTCCAAAGCTGTGTGTAAATGCAAAACAGAGCCACTGCACACTGTGGTGGGGGCCCACAGGTTACCCTGCCCCTGACAGTGCCTGCTGGAAGCAGTGTATGCGTGGGGTTAGTGTGCGTGTGCAATGGCGATGGGCATGTGTTCACCCCCATGTTAGCAGTGAGTGGTGTTGATGCACGTACGTGAGTGTGAGTTGTTGTCCCAAGTTTGTAGGTGCATGTGTGTACAGCACGGCGGTGCAGGCCTGGCCCGTTCAGCTGGGAGCATATGCTGCGCGTGTTGGCAGGACGCAGTGTCCCTGGCAGCAGCCCAGGCTGAGGAGGTGGAAGCGGGAAGATTCTGGGGCAGTGCTGGCATCATAGGGCATGGAGATGCCCAGAAAAGCCCCCTGCCCAGGCTGGTAGGGCAATTTCTATATGCTCCTTCTTCTAGCCCTCAGCCCAGTGCATGGAGCAGAAGTGGCTGGAGGTAACCTCATTTATGTCTGTGGAAGCCCTGCAGGGCTGCCCTGTGGCCTGTGGCCGACAGGCTGGTGAAAACCACTTGGTGGTGGCCTGCTGGCTGCATGTTGAGCCCATGCAGAGGCCTTGATTAAAGCCACATTTGGTTGGCAAAGCCCTGTCCCCTGAGGGAGTTCCAGCCATGCGAGCAGATCTGGACTTGTTTAATATCACAGCTCTCTGACAGCCACAACCATCCCACCACAGAACGCTCCCTTCCTCTCAGAGGAGATTCAGACATTGCGTCGGAGGGAGGCTGGACCTGGTAGGGGCCTCAGGGACCCTTACACTCTGACTTTCGGAGTCTTCGTGTCCATTATTGAGGTGGGAGTTCCATGACATAAAAGCAAGCATTTTAATGAGGACAATCCAGTGGCATTTAGTGCATTCGCCATGCTGTGCAGCCACAAACTCTGTCTAGTTCGGAACATTTTTTGTTGTTTTATTTGTTGTAAAGATTTTATTTATTTTTAGCCAGAGGGAAAGGGAGGGGGAGGGAGAGAAATATCAGTATGCGGTTGTCTCCTGAGTGCCCCCTACTGGCAACCCGGCCTGCAACCCAGGCGCGTGCCCTGACTGGGAATCGAACGGGTGACCCTTTGGTTTGCAGGCCAGCACTCCATCCACTGAGCCACACCAGCCGGGGCTGAGCCGTTTCATTCACCCTGTTGTGAACTGAATGCTTGTGCCTCCCTAAAGTCCTATGTTGAAGCCCTCACCTCCAGTGCAGCTGTTAGTTGGAGATGGCCCCTTACATCAGCAACTGAGGTTATGTGGGGTCATAAGGGAGGGGCCCTGATCCCACAACATTGGAGTCTTCATAAGAGGAGACATTGAAGCACCTGCTCTCTCTCCTTACCAGGAAAGGCCATAGCCAGAGGGTGGCTACTGGCAAAGAGGCAGGCTGTCCCCAGACACCAGCCCTGCTGGCACTGTGGTGTTGGGCTCCCAGACCCTGGAACCATGATAAACTGAAGTTCTGGTTTTTAAGCCACCTAGACAGTCCTGCCCCGCTGCAACAGCCGGAGCAGATTTATGCACACCCCCCATGAGAAGAAACCTTGTGCCTGTTAAGCAGTTAATCCCCATCCCATCGTCCTTCCCCCCAAACCTGGGCAACCACCAATCTTTGTTCTGTCTCTATGAATTTATTATGGTCATTTCACATAAGTGGAATAATATAACATGAAACCTCAACGTCCTATTTCTTTCACTTCATCCATATAGTAGTATGGATCAGTACTTCATTCTTTTTTAAGGCCAAATAATATTCCATCCTATATCCAATATAGACATATCATAATTTGTTTATTCATTCATTCTTTGATAGACATTTAGGTTGTTTCTACCTGTTGATTATTGTGAATCAGGCTGCTATGACCATTCAAGTACATGCATTTGTTTTCATATCTGTTTTCAGCTCTTTTGGGTACAAACCTATGAGTGGAACTGCTGGGTCATACAGTGATTCTAGGTTTAGTTTTTCTGCGTCACCGCCAAGGTGCTTTCCACAGTGGCTGTACCATTTTACATCCCCACCAGCGGGCCAAAAACTCATCGTTAACAAGACAGAGCAGAGAAGGCTGCAGTCTTGCCTCCACTAGGGATCCTTCTGTGGCTGGGGGAGTGGGGCTCGGCCTCCCCCAGCCCAGTCCCACCCAAGGAGGTCTGGACTGTTCAGCTGGGAGGGGAGGGGGGCCTGGCCTTGAGCCACAGGAGAAAACTCTACATAGGGGCTGGGTGCAGAATCCTCTCACACCCAGTTTCCTGCCAGCCTGCTCTCAGAGAAAGGGGAGCAGGCGTGGGCATCTGGGGGCTGGTGCCCAGCTCCCAGGGGACAGGGCAGGGTGGGGGGCTGACACAATCCAGCACATGGCAGGAAGCCCCTGGCCACAAGTGTGGGAGTGCTAACTTTGAACCTGCGTGTCCACAGCTGGAGTCCTGGGTGCCCGCCCGAAGCCAGGCCTATGGAGACGTCCCCATCCCCTGGGCCCCGGGCAGGAAACAGTGGCGGGTGGAAGGGGTCCCCATTCCCGAGGGCCTCCCCCCCCCCCATTCCCATCACCGTCCTCCCCACTCACCCTTCCTCCTGGGCGGCCAAGGAGCTCTGGGAGAGCTTAGCTAAATTCTTTGCATATTCTTCTTCAATCTTTATCCTGCAAAGGGAGGAAACCCCACGTCAGCTCTGCAGTGCTAGACTCTGCGTCTAACCTGCAGTCCTGCTGCTTCTTAACCAGGTGAGGGACCCATCAGACCATAAGCTCTGAGAGTACATGGCTCTGGTCTATCCGGCACATAGTAGGTGCTTAGTAAATATCTGTTGAAGGAACGAATAAATGAAATGGTCTGAACGTCATCATCCACCAAATGGGCTGTTCCCAGCTGTTTCTCCAGGTTGTGCAGACAAGAAGCTGTCATCTGCATAGCTCCTAACGCAGGATGGATACACCGGAGACCCTTACGTGAACGAATGTGACTCGTGACAGGCCACGGGGACGCCCGGTGCTGCCCTCTCCCTTCTAGCCCCAGAGCTCTGGGTTTAGGCCCTCCGAGGTGGCACAGACGGAAGTGCTCCTGACTGTCTCCCAGCCCCAGTGGCTGTAACTGTCAGGCCTGCAGGGCATGACTATTTCCATGGAAACCAGGCAGTGCCCAGAGCTGGCTGATTCTACTTCCCCAGAGGGGGAAGCTGCCTTGAGTTTGGCTCCCAGGCCCCAACACTCTTCCAAGGCAACTCTTCGGGGAGTGTTCTGTGTTATCTGGCGCAGCTGTGGCCAATGTGTTGTCAGAGGTATTCTGCCCCGGGTCCATCACTCAGCAAATGGGGAGAACCCCAGAGATTCCCGGGGCTGCAGCGCTTCCCTCCTGCCGCTCAGAAGGGCAGCCTAACCGAGTCATTATTAGTTCATGATTCGGCACCAAGACACCCACAATCTTGTGCCCTCTGACACTGCTTCGCTCTCAGTGGCCTCTCTGGCTGTCCCCAGGTCTTCTGTAGTTACCACTTCCTCTCTATTTGCTCTGCCTGGAGCCCCGCCCTCCTCAGGGTGACAGGGACAGCCAGCCAACAGCGTCCAGCCTGTAGCCAAGAGCTCTCTCTGGAAGGCAGACCCTACCAGATCGCACTCTCTACTGCAGGTCTCCAAAGGCCCCAAGGACAACCACATGCCCCAGGCATGAGGCCCATCTGCTTCCAGAATGTCACCCCTAGTGCCAGCACCTGCCTCACCTGCGCCTCCTGCCCACTTCCTCATGCTGAGGCCACAGCCAACCACTGTCACCTGCCTCCTACCCTCACCTGCCCCCTACCCTGTGTGCTCCCTACTCTGCGTCTCCCCCGGCTCTGACAGGCCCTCTTTATGAGACCCCAAGGTGGACTGAGAGAAATTACACGTCTCAGAAAAGACCAGAGTTCTCAACTGGCAGGTTCCAATTTATTGCAAACCTGACATTTTTGTATAAGCATAAACCATAAGTGTATTCAAACTGCAGCTTTTACAACCATTTTCCTATTTGCCTGTTTTATGCTATTTTTTTTTTGCACCTGAGACTATGCAGCCTCTCAATTCCCTACCAGTTCAATGGGCCACAGAAGATTTCATTATATAAACAGAAAATGGGGCTAGTAAAAAAAGAGGTGCTTTAAGATGCCAAAGAATTGTTACTTGCTTGTTGTTGTTACAGTTAAAAAGAAATATTTTTAAATGTAGTGCCAATTACTATAAATATTTCCAGTATGTTCTGGGAACTCCAGAAAGGAAGTTGTGTGTGTGTGTGCACACGTGTGCTCGTACGCGTGTGGGGGGGAGTGTACGTGGGGGCAGGCGGGTGTGAGTGTACGTGAGTTGTGCTCACCAGGGTTTCAACAATTGGAGAGAGGGAGACAGAAAAAGAACTACTTCTTTTTGTAGCTTTTCCTATTTCCATCAGGCCGAATTCATTGTCTTCTCACCGGGTTCATCTAAACCACTACTATAGTCCTTGCACTTTTCAAGATCACCTTTGCTGACTCTCCCATTGGACTGAGCTCCCTGAGGCAGGGCTGGGATTGGGGAAGGGGGGTACGGTTCTGTATTCCCAGCTCCGGGACACAGATTTTGTTCAAAGATGAACAAAAATGTAATACTCTCCTTTTTTGTCATGCTAAGGGACAGGGCTCCGGGAGGGCCATGCAGGTAAATAAAGGAGCCAAGTCGTCTGTGGGGGACAGAAGAGAGTGGTGGAGACTGAGGCAAATTGGGGACGCAGAGCCACTTACTGCTTTCTCCAGAGATGCTAGGCATCTAGATCTTAATGTACAAGTCTACCAATTTGAAAAATGTTGGTTTAAATCTTTAAAACCATTGCACAGGCCAAAACAACACATTTGCTGGCCAGATCTGTCCTGAGGGCCATGAGTGTGTGACTCCAATCTCACACTCCCCTTGGTGCTAACCACACCCAGCGCTGGGTGTGCAAGGCTCATTCCTGCTGCTCTCGGTCCCCTCAGGTTAAGGGGCCAACATAGGCACTGTCTCCAGTACCTGGAGCTGGGAGGGCCAGGCCTCACCTTTCCCGAATGAACTCTGACATTTCCTTCTGCATCTGTTTGCCCTTCAATTGCTTCTGGAGCAGCAGTTCAAACCCAGCCACGGTACCATTGCCTTGGGGGTCCTTCTTATCAGCCTGGAAAGAAAACAGAAGCAGAGAGTTTCAGTGACCATGGGGAACAGAACACAGGGAAGACACTACCTCAGAGGGGACCCAGACAGTCCTGGCAGGCTGAGAGAGAGGACGGAAGTGCCAGCCTTGGCTGCTCTGACTTGTGACACTCCTGGTGACCTGCTCCCATGTGCTCTCTGATGCTTAAGCCCTTACTACTGCTGCCGCCCCACATCCACGCCCCTCATCTTCCCACCTTGCACAGGAGAGGAGGAAGGGCAGGTGCCAGGAACACAGGTCTGATCCCCAGTGGCCTGATACTTTCAGTCAGGTGGCTGCCGAGGCTGGCTTGACCCTCTGGGGAGTCTTGGCACCCCGACTCCAAGATGCAGCAGTCTGTGCCCTTGGGTGTGGGTTCCCCTAACCCTGAACCATCCCATCTCCTGTCAGCTTCCTGCACCGGCCAGGCAGGGACATCTTCCAATGCGCATTCACAGAAGGTCATAGCGGCTTCCGGAGAGACAGTGGATCGAAGGGAAACCAGAGCGGGAAAGGGCCAGCGCCGACACCCCAGCTGGGGGACCTCGGCCACGAGTGGCCACTCGCTCCACACCTGGGCTGCTTCATCGGGGACACTGGCAACATAATGGCACCCACTGCAGAGGGTCACTTCAGGATAAATACATGGAAATAGCTCAGCGCATACTCAGCAAATACTATCTACTATTACTTTTAACTAAAAGTCAGGACTCAGAAAAGATGGCCAAGTCAATGAAATGGAAACTTAGTACCCAATTCACTCCGCAAGCAAATACTCCTCAAATTTCAAAATTAAATGCTTTTGCTTTGTTTCCCTTGCACTTCCAGAATATGTCTTTCTGCTCTCCCCCAACCCCTCTGGTTCCCCCACCCCCAAGGCCTGGCCCACCCTTCTGGACACTCATCACAGCCCTCACAGCCACAGGACTCTCAGAACTCCCAGGTGCCTCCTCCATCACAGCCTTCACGCACTAGGATTCCAGGGGCAATTGCTTTGATATTTAATGGAAGGAGTTAGAAAAATATGCCCTTCAACACCACAGAGCGGTACAGGAGCACCAGTGGGAATCCTGGCCCTGGGTCGGCTCAGCCACCGCTTGCCATGGTCAGGTCTCCGACCCTAGGCTACGTCCTTGGGCCCCTGCCCCTGAAACAGGAGTGGGCTGCACCGCTAAGATCCCAGAATGGACATTTGAAAGTGCACCCCGTCATTGTGGGGCTGCTCTGGCCAGTTATGTCTCTTGAGCACATTTAAGGTTTGTGCCTTTCATCATATAAATGCTACATCTTGATAAAAGAGCAAAAGAAAAATTACCCAAAATACTGAGCCCCAGTTTGCCCCCACAGAGGATGAACATGCTGGGCGACTCTCCACCCCGGAGAAACCAGCCTGAAGTAGGCTTCCCAGAGCGCTTCGGCACAAAGCTTTCTCTGAGAGGAAAGAGCCTGGACGGTCAGGGAGACAAACCGCTCGAGTGCACCTCGGAGTCCTCGCAGGCCCTGAATGGAGGTGAGAACTAACTCGAATATGGTGAGCTCTTAGATGCTGCTGAATATCCCCACATGACCCCCACACGCCAATTCCCCGGCCCCAGGAGCCCATTCCCAGGGCTCCAGCTACTCTCTCTGAATGCTGTTTCTTTCCTTTTTAGGGGTGATGTCTCCAAACCCGGGTCCTTCCTTCACCTCCATGGCTCCTTCCTGGTGTCCTGTGCCCACCTGCTAACTTGCACCTCTGCCGGTTCACAGTCCTCCCTGCCCGACACCTGTTGTAGACCGCTCTGCCTAGTTTTAGAAATTGTATCTCTACCCCTTGTGGCTAAGGGCGAGAGGGACGACCTCTGGGATGCCAGCCACAGGAGACAAAGCCTGTCTCTAGTGGCAAAAGCTGCCTCAGTTCCTCTCCCTGCCCCCAGAACTTGGTCGGAAGTCAATGATGGGTAAGACCCCTCACAGTGGCGGGGGCGGGGGAGAGGGGGCAACCTAAGCCAGACTCGATCAGCTGGGAGGCCTTCATGGAAGGACAAAGAGCAATGGACTCTCGCCCCTGGCTTTGACATAGCCCGAGTCCCAGTGTTCTCTGGGAGAAGTGCTTCCTGGCTCCAATCCCCTTAAGCCTGAATACCTGTTGGGGAGAGGTGCAGCTCCTTGCTTGGCTAGAGCGTGCCCTGGGGAAAAATCTGGCACCACAAAGACTTGCCGATAAACCTGTGAAATCTGCTCTGCTAAGAGTGCTTTCATTCATATGATAAGGGTCCAAGAGGAAATGAGTATGTCTCCCAAAGTTTCTGCAACTCTCTTCCTGACAGACACTCACTCGGATTGAAGCCCTCAAATCTCTTTGTAATGTTATCTACTGTTTGATCCTTGCTGCCCTGTATTCCTGTGTATTACAACCCAGTAAAAGGCTATGGAAGAGGGCACTCGGGGCCTTTTTCTCCTCGGAGAAACTGGCCACAGCCCACTCCTCCTCCTCTCCAAACAGATCTCATCTTGTCTCAGCCATATTTACTCATTCACAAGTGTCTGTGGCACAAGGGGGACCTCGAGAAAGAAGTCGCCCCCACAGACACTCAGAAATCAGATCACATCACATTTCCGCCAACAGCCCTTCAGTATCTTCCTGCTACAGAATAAACCCTGATGTGCTTACAGGGCCTGTGAAGTCTTGCACTCTGACCCCTGCCGACCCCTGCCGACCCTCGCCTCTGAGCTCCCCCACCCAGGTCTCTCTGATGCCAAAGCCAGAGGTCCTTTTATAAAGTTTGCTGCCTCTGCACAGACTTCAGAAGACCTGGAAGAAACACAGCTGGGCCAGCAGGAGTTGTCCCTTCTGAGGGCAAGAGGAACCACTGAATATCTAATGTACAAGTGATTTCATAAAAATAAAGAAGCACTTTTATCTAATACTTGGTTAGCAAATTTGAGAAGGGGTGATGATCTATCTGGTACCCCTTTGTGAAAAAAATGTTTTTATTTTATTTTACTTATCGTTCCTTAGTAAGTTTTTGCCAAAGGAGTGTGTGTGTGTATACAGTTTGTCCCTGGCTAGAGTGGCTTAATCGGAGTGTCACCCTGTAAACTGAAAGGTCACCAGTTTGATTCCCAGTCAGGGCATATGCCAAGGTCACAGGTTCAGTCCCAAGTTGGGGTGCATGCAAGAGGCAACCAACTGATGTTTCCCTCCCTCCCTTCCCTCTCTAAAATCAGTAAGCATGTCCTTGGGTGAGGGTGGAGGAAAACTGTGCAATTCGGTGCTTTTTAATATTCCCACAAGGTTGTGCCACCATCCTCACTGTCTCATTCTAGAGTGGGATGATCTCACTTTGCAAGTCACTGCTGACTTTAGCACGTGAATGCTCAGGACTGCGACTGGTTTCTGAGGAATGGGACTGTGCATTTGTCAAGAGATATTTAGTTGTGAAAAAAAACACACAGCAAAATTTGCCACGGAAGCCACTTAGGTGTGCAGGTCAGTGGTGTGGAGCACAGCGTCCTGCTGTGTGGCCACCGCCCCACGCCCTCCACAGCTCTGTGTGTCTGACGAAATGGAGACTCTGTGCCCACGAAACAATGTGCAGACTGCAGACGTCCTGGAACCACAGAGTCCTCAAAGCTTCAGATCCTTGAGCCCCACCTCCTGGTGACTTCAATGGAAACGGGGAGGCCCAAGGGGCAAAGCCCTTGTTCAAGGTCACCTACAAGTGTGACAGAGCAGCTCTGGAGCCCAGATTCACTTACTGAAGTTGATTCTTGCCTCCTGCCTTTACTGAGCAGCAGAGAAAGCAGCCCTGTGGTGTACCTGCTTTCTGCCCAGGGTGTCTGGATTCCCAGGAATGAAAACCCCACTAATTTGCTGAGACTTACAGAACGGCCTGGATTCCAAGAGGCCCTAAGTTCCTGCCTCGCTCGGATGCTTGATCTGCTGCCAGCCCTTTAGGTTCCAACAGGAGAGGTGTCCCTGTTGTAAGCCCCTCACGTCCCTCCTGGGTGTCCCCTGGTGGTCTTCAGGGCCACCGTGTGGGGGAAACTGAGCCACCACTTACCCAGAAATAGTCGCAATAGCTCCACTCCGTTGGTTTCAGCAGCTGCTGCTCTGGCATCGTGTCTGGGTGAGGGAAGGTCACGCAGTTTATCTGCAGGGCACAGAAAGGGGAAGAGAACGGCTTGGTGGGAAGGTCGGGAGAAGCGGGGGAGGCTGCGTTCCTGTGGCACAGCACTACGGAGGCCTCCTTTCGGGGCTGGCTTGATGCCACACCCACGGGGATCCCGAGATGTTCCAGTGGCTGGCATTTCCAATGGGGGGCAACCAGTGCTCACACCCCTCCAGGAGCGGCTGGCTGACTTCGGTGCAAGCTCTCTGGAGGTCAGAGTAACAGTTCCCATCAAAGTTGCAAACTTCCAGAGCCTTCGACTCAGCAGCTGCATTCCGAAGCATCTACCACACAGACGTATTTGCACAGGTGTGTGGTGATATGCGGACAGAGTTTTCCACCACAGCACTGCCTGCAGTAGCAAAAGGCTGGACACAGGTCCACTGTCCATCAGCAGGGCAACGGTCAAACAAAGCACGGGACACATAGGCATCCACGGGAATTGTACCCGTGGTGATAGACACAGAGAAGGTCCCTGTGGCTTCAGAAGGAAGGTGTGTCAGGACAGACAGTGGGGTGGGGAGAGCAAGGCATAGAAAAATATTTATGCTACACCACCATCTGTGTTATTTACATGCAGAATACTTCTGCAGGCTGATTACACCATTTGCTTCCAGGGAAAGGAAGTACGTGGCTGAAGGTCAGGGGTGACAAGCGACCCTGTGAATTTTATCTCATAAAATGTATTTATGAACAAAGAGAGGTTAGAAAGTAGAATCCAGATGCGGGCTTGGAGCGTGCAGTGCAGAAACTACCGGGGCCTGGCTCAGGCTCTCCCGCCCAGGCGTGTCCCTGGAGTACCCACTCTCCCTGTTCGGCGGGAGTGGCTTTGCCACTCACTGATTCTGCCGATGTGGCTTTAAGCACAGGTCCCCTCCCATGGTGACAGCTACTCTGTTCTTTGTGGGAGCCGCAGGGCCTCGCTGGGCCTGAGCCCCGTCTGTCTTGGGCCTTCCATGGCAGCCCAGCATCTGCCGAAGTGGAGGCTGTCACGCAGTCAAGGCAAGAACAGGGCAGGGCAGCAAACTCCTGGGGTTCTGAACAGAGGCCACTGACTCCCATGTGGCAGCTCTCACAGCAAGTGAGGGGCCTGTGGGTCACAGGAACAGCCGCTCAGTGTGGGGAAAACCACCGGCCTCTGCTTCGGGAAGGAGTGGGGGGGTCTAGGGAGATCCATCCAAGGGGCGGATTGCTCCCGCCTCCTGTTACAGAGCCAGAATGAGGAGTCCAATGTTGTCATGTTAGGTGATGACCTGAGAGAAGCTTAACATCGGGAATCTCCTGTGAAGTGTCTCAAATTTGAAATATTGGCAAATTAACTCAAGGCCAATAACAGCAACGATGTAAGCCAAACCGACTCCTGTGCCAGCTGGATCAGGCCCAAGGGCTGTTTCAGGGGCTCCAGGGTGGCGGGAAATACATCTGGCCCCCCCAACCCCGTCCTGAGAGGAGAGCATGGGTGAGTCCAGTCAAAGAAAGGAGCCCCTTCCTCCCGCACGCTGACACCTGGCTGAAGTCCTGGAGGAGACCCCCACTCTGAGAGTGGAGAAAAGCATGACAAGGTAGGAAGGGTCGGGGGCATGAATAACCCAGAGATCCCTGGAGACAAGCAGTACTAAATTCCACCGAGGTTGAGGTGGAGGCCCGAGGTACCACCTGCAGTGAGGAGTGGAGAGTGTTCTTCCAACGCTGCACCCACTGTGACTCAGGGTGTGGCTGGCCCTCAGAAGCCTGAGTGGGGCAGTGCTGCCTCTCTGTGCCCGGGAGCAGGCAATGCTCTCCCAACCCTCCTTCTGGGCTGACACCCCAAGGCGTGCCCCGAGATGAGTCTCCTCCAGGCCTCTGACCACCAGCTGTGGTGTGGGTCTCTCTTGTAGCAGTCCTGGGAGCCAGGGATGGAGCCCACAGCTTCACAGAGTCCTCATTTCCCATCTCAATCTCGTTTCACCAAATAATGGCGACCACAGTCCATCTTTAGTTCACTTGATGATTAGTCCATGAAAATTTCAACCCAACTTGGTGATATATTAATTGACATTCTATTGGGAATCAGGAACCATGGAAGTTGGAGATTGAAGGCGCTTGGGGTGGTACAGTGTCTTCTCTAGTGCCCTATCAGGGACCTGGAAGGCAAGGCCCCCCCCCCCCCCCAACTGCCCCATAGCAACTTCTGCAGGAGAGCCAGCTGGGTGGGGAGAGAGAAGATCAGGGAGGATAGGCCTCATTCCCCTTGTGGCTTCTGCCATTCCGTGGGGACACTGGTCCTTGGATGGACTGGTGGGGCTCCCAGGGTGGCTGTTCCTGTCTCTGTGGGCTGGTTTGGGGATTTCTCACTCCCAGCTCGCCACATCCTCACAAAGCCCCGCACCCCTCTGCTGGGCATCTTCAGAACTGCACTCTCTGCCCCCAGGAGGCAGTTGTAATGACTCTGGAGTTCCTGCTGAGCCCTTACTCCAGCACCCTGCCTAGAGCTCTACAGGCATTCTCACTTCATCTTCTGAGCAACCCCACTCACTGTATACGAGGGAGCGGAGGCTCACAGGATGACAGTGTTTGAATGGAGAGGACTGCCTTGAATGGAGAGCTCAAGTCTCAACAACAGTGCTTGCTGTGCCTGGAACACCCGCAGTCCATTTGCTGCGCAGGACGGCTGCTTGGCGCCACGCACTGCACCACCTTCCCAGCACCGAGTACGCGTACATCTGTAATTACTCTGCTCGTGACTGTTTGCTTAGTGCCTCTGCTCCTTGCCAGGCTGTCTGCTCCACGAGGCGGGAAGACCACTGTTCCTGCTGTCTCCCCGGGACTGGGCACAGCACAGGCACCGACGGTGCTTGGCAGATGCTTCCTGGTGCAATGACCACAGGCTACACACAGCAGGCACGGTCCCTGCCCTCCTCGAGGTTACAGCCTCGTGAGGAAGGAGTACAGGTAAGTAAGTAATTGCCATACTTTGGGATAAATCTACCACTGGGATAAGCACGGGGTGCTGGGACAGTTTGGAGGGGGAATCTCAGAGGAAATGCTATTTAATAAGAGTAATAAGAGTCAGACGGGGGGTGGGAGGGGAAGGGTGCTTGCTGCAAGGAGGAAAAGGGCCCCAGTGTCCGTGGGCACACTGCATGGTTGGGAACATGCTGCTCCGAGTGGCCAGGGGTCACAGTCAGGGAGCAGACGACACTGAGGCCAGAGGGCACTGCCCTGGCATGGGAGCCGTGGAGGTGTCTGGCAGGGAAGTGATGTGACCCGGCCACTCCTGGGCGAGCTGCAGCGCGCAGCACGCACTGGGGGAGAATGCAGCCGACCTCAGCCGATGGGGGAGACTCTGCAGGGACCAGGAGGCGTGATGGTGGCTTGGAGCAGCGCGGTGAAGTGGAGAAGCAGTGAAGTGTGGGACAGACTTTGCTGGCAGACCTCACAATACTATGAAGTTACCTCGTGGCTGCTTACTGGGGTGCCTTTGTCCCACTCCCCTGCTGTGGCAACCTGGAGACACTTTTGGTTGTCATCCTTGGGGAGGTGTTGCTACTGGCTTCTGGCGAGTAGAGGCCAGGGATTCTGGTAAATACCCTACAGCCCACAGGGTGACTTTGTCCCCTTCCACACTCACAACAGAGTTACCCAACCTGAAATGTCAATAGTGTCGATGCTCAGAGCTCCTCAGTTGACTGGCCTGGTGGACAGACAGAAAAGAGGGTGTGTGGGAGGGTCGAGTCCAGGGAGAGGGAGGCTGTGGCAGTGGAGGGCACGAGGACAGTTGCATGGTGTGCTGGTGTCCTGAGCCTTTAGAGCTAGTACGCTCATTTGCAATGACCTAGTGCGAGCTCAGGCACAGGTGAGGAAACTGAGGCACTGAGAGGTTAAGTCCCATGCCCACGATCATACAGCTAAAAAGCAGAGCATGTCAGGAGGCAACGTCCGCTGCAGGGTCGGGGTGAGGCGTGAAGGCACAGGTCTGGGACCCCAGTGTTCCCAGCTGTGTGGCCTTGGGCGGGGCACGGCTCTGTGCCTCAGTTTCCTCACCTGTAGACGGGGTTTTGATAATATGAGTGTGCACTGAGCACTTACTAGTGCCAGGCTTTGTGTTAAGTGCTGCCGCACACGGACTTGGTCCTTACACCCCCCCTGTGACACGGATGCCCGCTACGTGCCCACTGCACAGATGCAGACACGAGACAGAGACACGGAGAGACCTGTCCAGGCTGCTGCCCAGTGGACAGGCCCTGTAGCTGCCACTGGGGCTTCAGAGCCCCGGCTGGCAATCACCACACGACATTGGTTCCATCGCCCCCACCCCACCCAGTGAGTGGGGAGCTAAGTGAGCCCCCACTACTCATGCATCTTAAATGTACACAGAAGTGGCAGCGATTATTGTTACTGTTCGCCCACCCGATTCCCCTCCCAAGCCGGGTTTGGAGCCTGCATGAGCCAAGGGAGCACACCCACTCTCAGGCTCATCGCTGTGGGGGCTGTCGGAGACGCCCTGAAGTGTGTGTGACGGAGCCTGGTGGAGCGATCGCCTGCTCCCAGCTCTGCTGTGCTTGTCGGCGTGGCACAGCGGGACCGCACTGCCCCCGTCTCCCGCCTGGGCAGTTTCGGCACCCGGACGCCTGTCTGCTCACTCGGAGGGGACACTGATGCCCAGCACCCACCACTCCCAGGCACAGGGCTGATGGCTGTGAGAGGGTCCTTCTCAGCTTGTACGTCGGGGCTGGGTGGGCTTTGGAAGAGCCCTGGGAGGTGGGTGGCCACTCCAGGCAGAAGCTATTTACTTGCTGTCAGGAACTCCCAGGAACTCTATTCTTAGGGATCATCCTCTTACTTTTTAACTTTAACATCTTCCAGAAGTTACTCCGCACCATAGCAACCCTGCTGTGGCTATAATTTACATACCACGTCACTTGTACAGAACATGCAGTCCACCCCCTTCACCCCACCCCTGCCCGCCCTGCAGAAGTGGCTTCTGCATCACGCAACCTCCATCCTTTGACCAGCTCCCCAGAGAGAAAAGTGAGCTGTGAAACCGACAGAAAGGGGGACCCAGGGGGAACTTTGGCTACATCCAAGCTTTGGAACTTCCCAGATTCCAGGCTGGGCATCACTTCTACTCGCAGGCTGTCTGCGTTGTCATGACAACAGCCCAGCTGTGGCTGAGAGCCCCAGTTTGCCGCCCAACCAGTGGCCACTCCGAGGGAGCCCTTACCGTGAGGGTGTTCTCCTTGCTGTGCTTTCTGCCTGGTGATGAGGGTCCCAGGTTCTGGAGGGAGAGACAAGAAGCATCGTCAAAGCTGTTCTCCATATTGGACACTCTTTTTCCTTTCGTGCTCCCTGAAGGTGGTGGGATTGGTTCAAAGCTGTGTGCTGGGGAAGTTTGGGGATGTTCAGCCTGCCTTTAACTCCTAAGTCACCATATTCTGGGACAGGGCAGGAGGCAGTGCCCCTGACTGTGCTGCTCCTAGGCTGGGCTGAGGGCTCTGGGGAAACTGCTCCAGCCCAGGCTGTGATTGGGGAGTTAACCCCTCAGCTGCCCTCTGCCGGTAAGTGGCTCCGTGTGCTGCTTGCTGCCTGAACCTGCAGAACCCACTGGGGAGCAGAGAGTTAAGGTGGACTGCAGGCCACCACCTCCTGGCACGGAGCATCCAGAACGTGACATCTTAATCGGAACCCTCGGGTCAGACAGATCCAACCCCACAGGTGCGCCCTGCGTACTGGGGCGCCGGTCCCTCTTTGCTGCTCTCCTGCCCTGACAGTCGGGAGGGGTTGCTCAGCGGCAAGCTGCGCTCCAGCTTTCGTCTGACTTTAAATTGCCTTTTTGTGTCCTCCCATCGCCAGTAAGAAAACCAGGGTCCCAAGTACGTTCGAACCCATGGGCCCTCAGCAGCCGGCCCTTGTCTGAGGATGGTTCTGGGATGGAAACTGAGGACAGCCGGTGGAAAACGCTGCACTGGTCACAGGAGCCCATGACCCTGAGGGGAGGGTCAGTTGGCTTCGCTGTCGCACTGTCCGAAGTCATATGAGGGACTCAGGAAGGTCTCTGGGTGGGCGGGTGCTGTCTGCTGCTGTCCTGAGAAGCAGCTCCCCCCTAAGGCACTGCCGGGTGCAGTTGGTGAGTCTTTATTCTCTCTCCAGTGGAATGTAAGAAAGTGGCTGTCAGTGTTTTACAGATAAAGTCCCAGAAAGAGCGTGGAGGGGCTTTTCCAGTGAGCCCCGGGACCCAATATCCCCCGTCCTGGCTCAGCCCTGCTCCTGCAGGTCAGCCCCACCTCAGGAACCACCTGCTAGTCAGGCAGCTCTTCCAGACCATTTTGGCTGGTAAGTAAAGTCAACTAAAGAAAGTCGATTCCTAAGACAGCCTAGACAAAAAGAACCCCACAGGTCATTTGTGTCACAGACAAGAACACAAACTACTGGCCTTCACATTTTGCCACATCACATGACTTCTGTGAGCCTCAGTTTCACCATCTGTTGTCAATGGTTCTCAAGCTTTGGGGTGCATCACAATTAACTGAGCAATTTGACCCCAACTGAGTCCCAGGTGCATCTCCCAGAGCTTCTGATCTGGCAGGGCTGAGGGGCCAGCGCCTCTGCCAGAGTCTGGGGACACCTCTTGGAGGCACACTGGTCTGAGTGCGGTCAGTCCCCCACTTCCGGCAGCCCCTCCCGCAGCCCCGACAGGGCCCGGGGCAACGGCAGGCTGGCGAGCAGTCGCTGCTGCGGTCAGTGCTGTAGCCCAGCAATGAGTCCTGCACACCCGCCCTGCACACCCCAGGCCAGCGGCTCCGCCCCCAGGCACTGGCGGGACTGGGCAGCCTGGGAGGAAGGCAGACAGAGGCTGCCTGGTGAGAGCGGGTGCCACTCCCCAAGGGAGGGGCCAGGCGCACAGCTCCCGATGAAGGTTCCCTCACACAGAGGCACTGGCCCGGCAGAGACAGGTGACCCGTGAACAACATGGGTCAGAACTGCACCGTCCACCTAAATATGAAATGGTTTTTAATAAATACAGTCAGCCCTTCATATCCAGGTTTCACATCCTCAAATTCACACTGTGTATTTGTGATCCGTGGCTGGGAACGTGTAAACACACAGTGAAGGCCGTATGTATGCCATTTTACATACAGCACATACGTGTGGGTTCGGGCATCCTCGGGGGGTCCTGGACCCAACCCGCCCCCCGATACTGAGGGACTGTAGCCAGGTTATTGGGGAGTCAAAAGTTATATGTGAATTTTTGACTGTGCAGGGGTTAGCGCCCCAAAGCCCACCCCGCGCTGTGTTCTTCGAGGGTCAGCTGTGTGCAGAGGGAGAAGGGGGCTCTGGGACGGGTCCTGCCATTTGGAGGCGTCTCCCTGTGGCTGACAGATCACCCCCTCGCCGCTCCCACCCTGGGCCCCCAGGAAGGGCGGCCAGTGCTCTGGCAGCCTTGGCAACAGCCTCCGGGTCTGTGTATCGAAGCTGCGGCTGCTCACCGGGAGGAGGAGGACCAGGGGGATGACTAGCACAGTTCTGCGGCCCAGTGCTGCTTACTGCTCAGGGTGGACGGGGCAGCAGGCTCAGCCCCTGACATGCTTAGTCTCGTTTAACCCTCACAACACCAGCAGGTTCAGTGTCTGCATCTCTGTGTCACAGACTGTGAGCCTGAGGCAGGCGGGAGCCACCTGACCTGCCCGGTCGCCAGGCCAGTAAAGAGAGGGCACTGGAAGCCCAGCCTGAGCGGCTCCTTCCTCCGCCCCCTGCCACCTCTCCACTTTGGGATGATCTCTCTTATCCCATGTCTCTGCAGAGGTCAGGAAAGATCTCCGTCACCCACCAGCACTGACTGTGGAGCCACGGTGCCCAAGGCTCTGTGGAATGAGGCTGCGCACAGGGGCCCCCTCCCCCCTGTAACTTGGGTCAGGACAGGAGCACGGTAATGGCGGTGGGGAGGCGGGGATGGTGTTCTAAGTGTGGGGGCACCTTCCCACTTCTGCCCCACCAGCTGTGCAGGTCCAGCCCATGCTGAGCGGGGGCTGCAGGCTCTCTGAGGCAGGCTCTGCCGCCGCTGCTGCTGACCTGTGCCTGTGGCTCTGACATCATACACACAGACACATCCCGCAGCATCCACGGGAAGGCCCAGAAAGGAGGACACCTCGGCCCCGGGGGGACACCAACGAAATGCTCTTCCCGACCAGGAGGGGCTCAGGCTCCCAGCGAAATGGCCACACCCACACGTCAGGTGGGCCTGGAACAGCTTCTTGCTCTGGGAGGTATGACGGTGTCCAAAAAGAAAAACAATGTGATATAATAACAGGACACAGAAGCCAGCTTAAAGGGGCCCCACAAGCCAAATTGGGGGTGATCTGAGCATGAATATAAAAAACGACCAAATGATGAACTCCAAAAGAGGGGTGGGGTGGGGAGAGCAGCATTCTTTACAGAAAAATGCCAATTGGAAGTGGATAAAGAATTAGAAAATCACCATGTGCAAACGCCAACACCGACACAGATTCAGGCCACAGTCGATTGTCAAGGATGCTCCAAGCTCTCAGTGAGAAGATGGTTAGGGACCAGGATAGGTGCACGCCTCACCCTATCCCCCCACCAACTGTTGACAAATTAAAAAGCAAAAAGGCGCCCCTGTGAAGGCGCCACCTGGTCATCACCACGTCACGCAAGAGCTCAAACTCAGCATCACCTGCAGGGTGGTGACCTGGGAGTGTGTATCTCCAGACACAGGGTGAGAAGCACTTAACGGGCGCCAGGTGGTACGTGGGGCCAAACGGCAGAGCCCGAGTCCAAGCAAAGAAAACAAGCAGACCAAGAATGTGTGTCCCTCGGCCAGACAGTGGGCCTGGACTCTGACCCCAAAAGGTCAATATGAGGAAAGACAAAGAGCACATGCATAGCAATTACAGTCTAGACTGAAAGAGACTAAAGTGATAATTTAGAATAAAACAGTAAATCCATGCAATAGAATATTATTTGGCTACCAAAAAAAAAAAAAAAAAAGGAATAAGGGGCTGATACGGTGTGAAAGAAGCCAGACACAAGAGACCATGAGCAGCACGGTGCCGGTTACGTGGAACGTCTGTCCAGAGGGAAACCTGTGGGGACAGCGAGGGGATTTGTGGCGACAAAGAGGGAGACTCTTTTTTGGGTGGTGAAAACGTTCTGAAATTGGGTGTGATGAAGACGGCACAACTTTGTGACTACACTAAAAACCACTGTGTCTCATTCACTTAGAATGGGTGAATGACATGCTATGTAAATTGTATCCTAGTAAAGATGTTTTTAAAAAGAGAAATTAAAGAGATAGCAACCAGTGTATCCATGAGTGAAACCTGAATGGACCCTGGATGGAGGAGAAAAGCAGCTACAACAGTCATTCTGAGCATAGCTGGGGAGTTTGAAATACGGACTACATGTAGCAGATGATGCTACTGAGTTAATGTTTTCTTAAGTGTGCTAATGGTATTGCGGTTATATCTTCCCCTTTGGATACATTATAAAATGTTTATAGCTAAAACTAATATGTCAGGAGTTTGCTTTAAAATGACCCAGTGAGGGTCCGGGGGAGAAGGACTGGGAATATACATGAAACAAGATTGGCTAAATAATTGTTGAAGTTACGTGACTGGTCCATGGTCCTTTATTAGAGTATTCCTTCTATGTCTATAAATGTTTGCAAATGTCCATAATTAAAGCATTTTTTCCTTTTTCTTTTCCTCTGCCAATGATTCTAGAAAATTTCCCTTTCTTTTTTAAATCTGCCCCTCGCCTGGATTCCGCCTGCTTTCCACCTGTTTTCCTCGCCTGGCCTGAGCCGCTGTGCTGCCACTGGGCGGTGGGCACTGGCCAACTCGGAGAGGTCACGGCAGTGCCTGGAGCACTGCAGTGGGGGTCAGGGGTCAGGGGCCACTTACAGCTGCCTCTGTAAGCCCCCACACTGTGTCTCCTTGCCATCCTGCCTCCTTGCCTGGGGCAGGTAGGAGCCAGTATGAAACCTCTCAATGACTCTGGGGTACTGTTAGGACAAAACTGAAGTCCCCGCAGCAGGCCTGTGCGGTGCTTCCAGGCTCACCTCCCACCCTCCCCCACCTGCTGAGGGAGTGAACCACAGCGCGATCTGGGCTCTGCGTACCCTCTGAAAGCAGGGCTCTCCTTCCTGCCCCCAGACGCCCGCATGTGCTATTCCCTTCACCTGCAATGTGCTTCCCTGTTTGCCAACCTGAGCCCTTGCTCCTCTCCAGTCTTAGCTTATGTATCTTTCCTAAAGGAGTCTTCCCTGACACCCCCACTCCCACTCACCACCACCCCACCACCCCTGGGGCCTTGTAGCACACCCTACCCCCAGCTCTTACCACTGCTGACAGGAGATAATCATTTATCTCCTGTCTTTCTAAGCACCAGCTATAAGCCTCCACCAGGGCAGAGACTGCTTCTGTCCGTGACTCTGCCTGGTGAAGAAGGACATGCTCAATAGCCTGTGTGTTACTGGAGGGGGTGGGGCAGAGAAGGGTAAAGTAGATGAGTGCTCAGTATTTCACCTCCTCCTCTGCCTCCAACTCTATTCTCTATGGGTCCCTCAAGTTTCTAAGCCCTTAGTCCTATTCCCCTTCCCCTCTCCTGTGTCTTCCTGGGGGGAAGTTCAAGGGGAGCCAGAACAATAGAAAGGTGGGTCACAAAAGGGCCTGAGCCCTGGTGGGCAGGTCCCTTGCCTTCCTTACACCTGCTAAGGGATCTGAGAGGGTCTCCACCACCCCGGCCTCCCCCCTAGCCACCCAGGTAGCCAGGCAGGTGGGGGACTGGCTAGGATGTGCTTCTACAAAGGCTAGCAAGACTATTAGCCTTTGATTCCCCTGCCTCTCCAACCAGGTGAGAGGCAGGGGAATTCATTTATCCAGGACCCAGGCAGCCTGCCCAGGTCTGCAGACTTGAAACCTTCCACTGGGTGGCGCCAGATCACCACTACCTGTGCCTGCCGTGAAGGTCTTCCAGGGCTGGGAGAAGGAGGGGCAGGCATCCTGGGGCTGCTGGACACCCAGCCATCAGTCCTGCCCAGGACAGAGCAGAGTGGGGACACACTCTGGGTTTCCATGTAGATTAGGTACACTCCCGACCCACCCCACCCCTGGCATTCTAATGTTCCTGATGAGTTTGTTCAAAGAGAGGCAGTCACCAAGTTGCAAAAAAAACCACACAAAGTGGGTTTGAACAAGCTACTTTGTCCGCCCCCACCCTGCATGTGTTCATTTGCTCCTTCATTCATTCTTCAAATATTAAGTCATAATGGTTATTAATTATAACAGACAGCCTGGGATCTTGTGAGTAAATACCATGTAGGCGGAAGGGCTCTGTATATCCTTTGGGGTGATCTGTCGGTAGTGCTCTCTGCAAATGGCAAAGCTGCGTCTCCTATTCCCACGACTGGCCTTTGGCACCTTAGTGGACAGCCCACTCCGCAGGCTTACAGGCCCTTACACAGCCTGAGAGGACGCTGTCCTACCTTACGCCATGGTCCGGGGAACCTGTGCCCAAATGCATGTTTGCTGCCTCCACGCACTACGTTATTTATTCTCGTTACTTTGAGGACACAATCGCCGGCTCTACCATCCCAGACTCCCCTGTCCCTGCACAGCTGTGGCCTGGGTCCCCAGAGCTGACCCTCGCCACATCCCTAAGTACCAGTACCTCGATTCTAACTTCTTCTTTTTTAAAATAATGCTCATTCTATCTGTCTTCTATAAAAGTAAAATGTGTTCATTTCAGGAAATTTGAAAAATAAGGGAAAGCATAAAGCAAATAAAAAGGACCAAGACCCAGGTTTCTGAACCTCAGCACCACCCCTCCTTTCAAACTGGGCAATTCCTCGGTGGCAGGGCCGTCCTGTGCGCTGAGTGGCCACTGGTAACATCACTGACCCCTACTAACTACGGGCCAGCAGTACCCTCGCCCCAGCTATGACAGCCAAAATGTCCCCACACACTGCCAAACGTCCCAAGGAGAATCCAGTCTCAGGGGCAGACTGACCCACCCTCAGTGCCTGGCTTATTTTTCGTCCAGCCATTTGCCTCCCCACACAGAGATTTCCTGCCCCAGATAAGCCTGCCTATGTGTGCAGACTGTGTGACTTGCACGATGTCACCGGCAGGCGCGATGTCTGGTGCCACAGGCCATCTTACGCATTCCCCGCTGCTGGACAGTTAGGCTGGGTCCAGTGTGGTGAGCGCTGCTTGGGTGAACGGCTTCACACCTCAGTCGGAGTCCCTGGGCACATCCCAAGAGCTGACGCTGGAAGGGAGCTTGCTGGGTCAAAGGCTTAAGATGCACACAGCCCAGTGCCTTCTGAGAAGGCTGTTGTAAGTACGTGTTTTGTTTCAAGTGGTTGAGCAACACCTTCATGGTGTTTTGGTGTGGGCGAGCTGTGCTCTTCTGGGGAAGGGAGGACGACTGCTGGGGCAGGTCACTCCCAGTGTTCTTCCTGATGGCGCCCAGGGCAGCCCGCCTTCCCCGTGTAGGTGAACCACAGCAGAATCAGGCTGATGTCTCCTCAGAAGACATTCCTCAGTCAGGCGGTAAAGGAGCTTCATTTCAAACAGACTGCCAGAGGCTGGCTGGAGGAGGCCAGCGGGGGCTGGGCAGGACGCAACAGGGCGAGCACCCTGATGTGAGCCATGAGCAGGGAACGGAAGGGGACCCAGGGGCACCAGTGTGCGCCATCAGCTGCACCCAGCTCCTCGCTGCCCAAGGCGTGCCCCCTGGTCAGCAGCATCATCCGGCACTGGCTGGAAACGCAGAACCTCGGGCCCCTTCCTAGGCCTCCTGAACCAGAATCTGCATTCTAACAAGAGGCCCGGATGAGTCTTGAGTCCAAGAAGCCTTGGCCCGCACGAATGTCCAAATTCTTTCCCGGAGTTTTAGTGGAATTTGCCCTGTGCCCAGTGCTCAGTGGCCTGGACAACGACTTAATTATGTTTCTGAAAACAGGTGCTCTTGCCTGCGTTAAAGCTAAGTGCTCCCTTCCAGCGGGCCCTAGCATCAGAACTCAGTCTTCCTTTCAGTGACCAGTGTGTACTTGTTGTAGCTAACAAGCAGCTGTCATCGTCGTCATCATCATCATCGCTGTCATCACCACCACCGTTCCCTGGGGCCTGGCATTTTGACTCCCAGAAAGGATCGATGGGGTTTGGAGGCTTCACTCAGAACATCTTACAGATAATTTATGAACAGACCAAGCAAGATCAGACCTCAGTCCTCTGGACACAGCTTATTGCAACTGAGAGCCCCTGGGCTCGGCATCCGGGTCTAGTCTGGCCGCCCAGTGGTCATGTCAACCTGCGTGAGTCGCTTAGCCAGGCTGGGCCTCGGTGACCTCATCTGTGATGTGGAAATGGCACTGCCACCTACCTCGCGTGTCTGCACATGTGCCCACCGAGACGATGTGTAAACAAAAGCAGTTTGGGAATCTTAAAACACCCCCCTACTTCTTCCCAGCCGGTGCTGTCTCCGTGCTGGATCACTGACTGTGACTAAACGTTCACAAAATCCCACTCTGGGTCGGGTCTGGGACAGGAAGGGACGTGCAGAAAAGAAATACGACCTGGCCTTGTCCATATTATCAAAGGGAAAACCGAGACTACGCATCAGGAATCTGGACAGCAGGAGGGGCCGTTACAGCGCCTACAGCCCATCACCCTCCCCCACTCCACACCACCCCCAACGTCTAGAGGAAACCCAGCCGACCACGACTGCCCACTCTCCCCCAACCACGGTGCATGGGAATGACCCAGAGGGACCAAGTACTCAGGGCAGAAGGGGGCTGTCTGTAACCAGCCCCCCCACTGTGTGCCCATGTTAATGACACCTCCCCAATCCTGCACCCACCCCTACCTCCCATAACAGGAACTCTTACCTGGGAATCGCTGGTGGGTTTGCGGACACTCATGTGGGCAGTCTCGGGAGGGTGCGCTGGGGTCCCCGATGCGTGGTATCCATTCACTGTGGGGACAGAAACCCTGCTGAGACGCTGTGCTGGCCACAGATGGGCGCCCCTGGCTTTCTGCAGTGCAGCGCCTGCCCCCACCACACGCCTGGTGCCGGGAGGCCTTGGTGGCTGGACCCCTCCTGGCCTCTCACCAGCGTCCACAGAGACGGGCAGCATATCCCTAACCCCCAGCACCTGGTCACTGACCTCCTGAGGGGCCTAGTTTCCTTGCAAACCGGAGAGGGAAAAGAATGCACTTAAAAGAGGAGACGCCATGATAAGCCAATGGCCATCACTGAAAATGTCACATCGGTGGTAGTCACTGGTGCAGATCAAGGGTCCAGTCGGGAGGCCCCGCCAGCCCCTTCCTGTACCCCCCTGACAAACCTCTCTCTGACGCCCTCTGCATCCTCTCCGCCCCATGTGGTATGGCCATAACACAAAGAGGACTTTGTTTACTGGTCTCCATGACAACTGGCTTTGCCAATTAATAGCTGGGTGATAATAGGACATCCTTCTTGAGTCGGTTTTCCCAAGGTTAAGGAAGGAAAAAAAAAATCCAAGGCTCTAAAATTCTGCCCCTGTGACATTCACTTGTGCTCCCAGTGTGAGCTAACAGAGTGGCCGGCTGGCCGGTGGCATAGCCAACCTGCAACCGTCACTGCCCCTGCTGGCCTTGAGGTCAAGAGCGCGGAGTACGGCCCTGCATTCCCAGTTCCTGAAAATGGTGCTGCTCTCAGGGTGCAGCAGCCAGCTCAGGAGTGGCTCCTCCTCACTGAGCCGCCTCCTCCTACCCATAAAATGGGGACAAGTCTACCCAGTTGCCAAACCTACTTTGTCGGGATGAAAGTCAAATGAGACAGTACTTGCAAAATGGATCTGTCAATTCTAAAGGACTTCCTGAACAAGGGTGGGAGTGGGGAGAGGGCTCTTTCATGCCTTGTTCCTGAATCTAGTCGTCTTGAACCCCAAGACTGTCCGGTCACTGGAGACCAAGAAAGCCTGCTGCAGGAAGGGCCACAACACAGAGACTGTGCTGGCAAGAGAGCAGTAAATGGATGTCCAGATTGCAGCTGTGTGCAGGGTGCTCCGTCGTGTAGCAGGAAGCAGAGGGAATGACTGCAAGTCAGCAACCCCTACTCATCTGGAGTGGCCAGGGTGGGAGGCAGGCAACGGATGGCAAAGGCTACGCACAGGGATCCTTCCTCATGCTGGGGGTGCCCCCACCTCCACTGCTTGCAGAGAACACTCCAGGGCCACCTGCGGACACAGCCAAACTCGGCAGACCCTGCAGGTAGCTGGGCTGCTCCCTGACAGCCAAGGTCAGCCCCACACTCCGAAGATGGGTGAGCACGGGGCTGGCCCCCAGGACAGTGGCTTGGGAAGCAACAAGAAATAAGTCAACCCCACGTGAGCAGCCACACACAGTCCTGTTTTAACTTGACCCTCAGGCACCTGGTCAAATGCTGACACCACCCAGGAGTCCCCCAGGTAAGTAGGGGACCAGGACTGTAAAAGCTTCAGAGAATGCCATGCCCTGTGGCAGGGGCTGGGGTGAGAAGGCATAGCTATGCCCCCAAGGACATTAGACTGACATTAAATACAACCTCAGCTGAAGGCATAACATTTGAGAAATGTCCCCTGTCGAGCAGCATAGCACTGAAATGGAAAAGAATACCAAGGCTGGACAGACCTAAAGAGAACGGTAGGAAAGCTTCATGCGCTGCTTTCAGACTGATTAGAAGATGAAGTGAGGATGTGGAAAATCTCGGTAACTTAATTTAAAGAGCTGATTGAATTAGCTGTATGAAACAAAATGTCCTGCAAACAAAGATAATATCTTTTGTCAAGAAGACTTGGAACATTAGGAAAAAAAAGTTGGGCATATTTAAGCCACAAATAAAGTATCAATAAATTGCAAAGGGCATAAAGAACACAAGCTACATTCTCTGAGCAAAAAGTAATAAAAGTGGATATTAATAATAAAATAATAAATACACGAGTCTCCATCCGCCCAACTCCTTAATGCTTAGAAATTTACGAAAATGCCCTGTCAAATAATCTCAGGTCGAAGAGAAATTTAAAACAATAATTACACATTTAGAAGATAATGAGGAAGAACATAGCAAAAACAAATGGGACAAAGCCTAAATTATATTTGGAGGGACATTTATAGCCTTAATTATTTCATTACCAAAGCCAAGGACAGACATAAATAAATGAACTAAACATTTGATTTTAAAAATCTGAAACAATTCAAAAGCCAATGAAATCAAAGGAAAACAGGAGAAAGATATAAAACGGCACTAGAAACCCACGCGTCAGGAGCTGGCTCTGTGTGTTTGGCTGGTGGGGACTGCAGAATGGTGACAATGGTACAAGAGGCAGATCAGCCTGTGTCATTTGAGACTGAAAGAAAACACAAACGCTCAAACCCGGAGTTAGAGAGAAAACGTAAGCATAACCAACCTGGTAGAGGAACATATGATTTATATTCTGTGCTAATAAATACAAAAGCTTCCATAGGTTCAAATCATCGAAAACGGTTTTAAAGGACACTAGGAAACACCAAAATGAGTAAGACCTTTGGACAATGACCTGCCTCCGAAAAGCCCTGGACTCGGACGGTTGGATGGGCAAACGCGTTCAGACTCCCAACACAGAAACTCCCAGGCACAACTGGCGCCACGGTACAGTGACAGGCAGTAAGTTTCCCAGTTCATCGCACAGGGCTGCACTGCCCTGATCCTAAAATCTGTCCACGGCAACAAAACAGGACCACCACTCAGCGTGACCACGACGACAAACCACGGACGTTCTTACCTGAGTAGGCCCTGGCTGGAATCAGCCAGTACCTCTGATGGGGTGGGACCCGGACACCAAGGCTGTCCCCAGCTCTGCCCTGCTGACCTCTCCTTACGCCTCCACAGCACCTCAGGTGCACCCTCAGCCACTGCCCCCTTCCTCTTGCCCCCAGTGTCCCCGGGCTGCTAGCCTGCATTGGCGGCAGCCAGGGGCTGTCTAGCGCAGGGCATTCTGCCCCTAATCCATGCTCTTGTTCTCGCTTCAGCTCTGGGCTGTCAGCTATTGGCTAATTACTGCTCATGTCAAAACAATTACTGGGAAAGAAAAAATAATTTTCCATTCAACCATTTCTCCCCACACAGCAGCTCCCCTCTGATGGCCTGTCTCGCTGCATTTCACTCAGAATGATCAGTGGGGACTGGGACAGTCAGGGCTCACCCACATGCCCTCCTCATTGGCAGGCCCTGTCCTGCAGGCTCCCAGCTTATCAAGGGTTACCACGAGACAAAACTCAGGAGGCCAGGCTGGGTGTTTTGGAGGCCTCCAACTTTGGGGGATGGGGGGTAAAATAAAATTGATCAAAGATCCCTCGTAACCATAAGGGACATACTTGAGTTTGGGATACAAGAAAAAATGTACAATGCCAAATTAGCTGTTTTTGAGATAAGAAAAGGGAACAAGAAGCCCTATCTAGTAACTTTAGTAACTTCAGATACAAATGTAAGCACGGACAAGCACATGTTTGATTCCTCTTTGTGGGCAGTTGCACCGAGAGGGCACGGAGATGTATGAGAGGAAGGGGCAGATGTTTGGGTAGAAGGGAGGAGAAGGAGGTCCTCAGGTGTGGAAAAGAGGGAAATGGTTAAAATCAAGAAAGAAATGCAGGACGGGTTGTTGAGAGACACATAAAGCAAGAGAGAGGGGCCAGCGACTTCTGCTGCCCAGGATCTACCTCCCCAAGGGCCCCGTAGACCAGCACAGCTCCAGCCCACCCTCAGGGGCCCCTGTCTAGGTGCCTGGTCCCTAAAGACACCCAAATAGTAGATGTGCTTTTCCAAGCAAGAAAATCATCCCCGGACCCGCCTCTCTTGCCTCCTTCAGGTCTGGCAGAGTCTCCCTTTTCTCTGGAATGAACACAGCAACCTCTTTCCCAAGGTTATGACCCCAGGGTCCCCAGAGGCCTTCTTCCTGAAATCTCTGCCTCGTCACCCTCCCTCCCATCACGTGGTCAACACCGTGGAAGAGACCGTTCCCCTGCAGTGACACACAACCCCGATTCTGTGATCCCACAGAATGATGATGATGACGATGACGATGATGACGATGATGATAAGCAGTGAAGATAAAGGGTCCAAAGAGGCTGGGACGAATGCCCCTATTATTCAGATTTAAACTGGTTTGTTTACAGGAGGCCTTTTAGAACATGCGGGTGTCCTCTGTGAATCTCCAGCGAGGCCACTGGTGGCACTAGTCCTATACTTAGAGGGGCACAGCATCTGTTTTGGGCAGAATACCCAGAATACCATGGCACCCACTCTGGGAATCATGGCAGCAGATGTCGGAAGGCAGGTTTTGAAGTCAGGCAAACCCAGCGGCCAGCTGTGTGCTCACATCCCTGCAGACGCCGTGGCTGCGTCCCCCTCAGCCGCCACCACCCCCAGTAAAGCCTTGGAAGTCGCTCTTCGAGCATCATGTTCGCCTTCTCAGGTGTGTGCACATCCAGCCTGGCCTGTTTGGAGGAGCAGTTTTACATCCATAGCCTTCTGGTCTGGAAATTTCTGTCTGGCCGCTGGGTCCTTACTGTCTCCCCTGGTTGTCTGAGATGTAAAATGCATTCCCCACAGCAGACCCCCTGATACATTTATGTGTCCCTGTGGTTGCGAGTGGCTAAAACCTGGGGCTTTCCCCCGGGCCCTCAAAGATTACACTGGCCTTTGTGAGGTCCCCTGGGCCTTGCAGATGATAACACTGTTTCTAAAGGAACATGCAAGCCCCTTCCAAGCAGTGGAGCAGTGGCCACCCCTGAAGCCGGTGGTGGGATGGGCCTGAGGGCCTGGCAGCTTGCTGATTCTGGAGTGAGGGCCCTGCTTTGCTTCTGTGTGGGTGACGACAGGTGTTTGGGGCTTCCTGATCTAGAGAAGAAAGTGAGGTAACAGTGCAGTCCTGGTTTTGGGGACCCTTCCCCAGAGGTCCTCTGCTCAGGAGAGGT